TCTGTCTTGCAATTTTTTCCCAATTTTTTCTTCCACACGTTCCCTCCAATCATTCTGTACTGTCGAGGATGCCTGGAATAAAGAATTTCATCATATCGATAGAAATATATTCCAAATATAACGACGATTTTCGTAACGTAAATCATGCAAGCCCTACTTTTCGCATTACAACAGACGCAAAAGTAAATATAGACAATTTGCGGCCACGTTGCATCTAATCCGAGACTATCTGCATTTGCCGGTTACATACCACCACTGATCTAATCTGTCCATCAGGAACAGTAAAACGACCAAGTGCTGAAACGGAAGCGACCGAGCAAACACGCGACTGACTTGCGGTGCATCGTTCACTCGATCGATCTTTCGCACACTGTAACGTGAAAAAACAAGCGAAATAATGTAAAATAAAGTGAAATAAATTGAAGAAAATGTGTCATAAACGTCACAAATTTACCTGTAAAAAACGACAGTTTTGGATAAGAAAAGCCTTAAACGTTTAGTATGTTCCCAATGTCGGGTTTCGCCATCATGCGTAACACAATCCGTGGATAGTAAGGTTGATATCCGTATTGATTATGGTCATCATCTAAATTAGATCGTCTAGCATACATATTATATATATTTTTCACCCGATTAACAGCCACATCATTTCTCTTACTGTGCACGTTCTTTCTCCATTATTTCACTTACAAGATTCTTATTTTATCAGTATCCTTTATTAATATCACACTTCACAATTCCTTTCTTAGATAGTATACTGTACAATGGTGCTGTGTCTTTTTTTCTTAATTTCCTTCAAAAAGCGAAAAATAAGTAGTTATATTAATTGTCTCTTTGTCAGTATAAACTTCAAGGTTTATACCTTACATTTTACTGTCTTTTCAATGGAGAAAAAAGATACTCTACCATCCTCAGTTTGTTGTAACACCGATTCCACAATGGTGCAAATCTTATTATCTTAAAATGAATTATTGCTTAAAAACTCGATAAAATTGCCAAGGCTCGTTTTTCATTCAAACTTTTCACTTTTACAGGACTTTTCCTGCACCGCATAAAGAGAGACCCAAATATACTTCTTCCCTTTTCCATCCTGCAACAATCGTCGATATTAAAGCACGTAGCGGAAGAGAAATGGTGAATTACCATTTGAGAATAAAGAAAGGAAGAAAAATACAACCGCGTTTCTAGAACGCTTTTTATCCCCGTTTCGTGCCATAAATTCGCCCGTTGAAATATCGATAGGCGGCCAAGAAATCGTGCAGTGCAAATAGACGGGGAGGATGGCAGAGAAGCTTTTCAGTATGGCGGCAGTTGTAACATTTCGCTCGCGTAACACACAGCTAACCCCTGCTTCGAGCTCGTTACGTGCCTGCGGGGGTGGTCGTGGCCCGGGAACGAGCTGCTTGTAGAAACTGAGCGATAACTGGTAAATAAACGATGAAAGATACGTGAATTACAAATTGCACTTTCCTAGCCGTGCACGTTATTTACCATTCCTCCGGTATTCGGTGTGTTGTTTATCGTCTTACGTGGAACACCGTTCATACGTGTATCGCGGTGTTCGCGATCACTATGTTACACGTTAGCCATGTTACGTGCACGATATTCGAAACACGCGTTTCCCGCCTTTAAAATATAAACCTGTTAATACGGCGTGTGGATTTTCGGGTTACTGTCCGAGGAATTTTACTTGGATTTCAACCTGTGTACAAAGTATTCAATTGTTTAGTCACTTTATGTATTGCGAATATATAGCTGAATAAAACGCATTCACAAAACATTAGGAGAGAATAATAAAGTTATTAGATAAGACATTACCGTTTGACCCTTTGAGGATGAGGAGGAATGTACAATAAATCATTGGAAATAATAAAATTACATTTTGCCACGATGTCGATACCTGCATATGTTGCTACATATGGTACAGTCTTCATCTGCAAAGGGTTAAAAGAAAAATTATTAAAGTACCATTTTGTTAAAGCTCTATAAGATATGACATAGTTGGATCAGTTATATATAAACTATATAATTAATTTAAAGATTGTTCTCTGTTTCCTTGTGTATTTTACATTATTTCTGTACCTGTATCATTTTAATCACAGGCTATTTATTTGTAAAACGTTTTTATTTCCTTTAGAGTTACGTATATCTTATGTAGTTTGGTACTATGACTGATTCGAACAATTTATGTAGCAGCGTGTAGAATTAAAGTACCTCGGGTACCTCGTTTACTCTTGAACAATTTGAACTCCTGAAGGATTTCAGATGACCGACCACAGATGACCTGAATAGTTCAGGTACCCTTGGTACTTTGTGGTCACACCGAGTTCTTCAAGCACCTTAGATGCTTCAAGTATCGCGTGCATACTTGGACAAGGCACAAGATTCCAGTGTGCGATAGCATTCGTGATAACAGTTCCATCTTGTCACTGTGCAACGATATCCTTTGTCTTGCAATATTCGTAAGAGTTTGGGTGCTTTGAAATTAGATATTTAACGGTTAAATATTGTTCATGTTCTGTAACATTTGATATTAGAAATTCGAGGTAAATTCTAGGAAAATTCGGTTATTACCTAACCATCGCGAAAGTAAATCGCTAAAAGTTCTGGTCTAAATTGTATGGGATGGATGGTTGCGAATAGATAAGGGATATCAGTAAGGCAGGAGTGCTAACTGATAGCTATCGATAGCCCTATTCACGTCTCGAGCCACCCTAGTTGAGTTCTCGATCTGTCTGATACGAAATCAGAACGGTAAATGAGCTTCTGCTACGACTTCGTGGTCCTTATATAGATGGCCATACCCCCACTACTTTCCATGGTCGTGCGAGAAACAGTAACCACTGTGTTCCTGTAATTAATAACCTTTTTATTACGATGGACTAGAATTTATTCATTTTTATTCTCTCATTACAAATTTATGTCGTCAATAATTCGTTACACTAAGATTAGTATCGTATTTCGTGTGACACGAAGTATAAGATGTCGAGACTATATTATACTATACCTTGTCTATGCTCGTGGTGTTAAAGTAAGTAACTATAGCAACAGACGATAAACGGTGAGGTTATCTTTCGAGATGATCACTTTTGTATAAAATTTTGACTCGCGATAATATTTGTGTTCAAACGACAAATATTTCGCACAGTTATATAAATAACAAATTTATTCAGTCTTAACTTTATCTCGAAATAATATCTGTACAAACGTGTATTCCATATCGATTCCGTTAACTTCGACATAAAGTTCCATGTAGCGTAAATTCTCTTCAAAATTTCAACGCAGCCCAGTTTAAAAAAACACTCGCGTTATCGTTGTTTTTCTCCTTTTTCATTCGTCCCGATAGCATCTTTGCTCGCTGGGAAAAACGTTCTCGCACGAGTCGTGCTTCGAAACGAAACGTTCGCAGCCACGCGCTGCAGCATCGCGTGTTAGTTGCGCGCATACACCACAGAGGTCGGTATCGGCGCGGTTTTAAAGCGACGTGCAGCGAGGCCGGATGCAAACGGCGATCTGTTCGCTGGAAACTCGAAAATAACTGGTAAACAAATGATAAAAGATACATGAGCCACAAATTGTGCTTTCGTTGCGGTGCATTATCCACGGCTTTCGATAATATATTAGCACGCGACTCTGCCCTTCTGTTTGTCCGCGTTTCTCTATGTTAGTGGATTCTCTCCTCGCTTCCCTATTCCCGTGGCTGGGCTGTTTGCGTATGATAGTCTCTTTTCCGGAGCAAATGGAAGATATACGAGGTAATGGAGTAAACAATGACACGCGGTATTACTGATTTGATGCAGAGTGTCTTGCGTAATGCGTTGTAGGGTTGCATTTTAGGTTATATATTGAATGCATGCGACAGGGGTGACACCAAAAGAATTGCTTAATAGCAGAAATCATTTATCATTGGTAATACAGATACAACTCTGAAACAGAGAAATCCTTTCATTTATTTGTTTAAAATTTTTATGTCTACTCAATGTTTATTTCAGAGATCTTTTGTTACCTTTTATGTAATTATGTAGTTATATACTGGATATGGAAAAAGAAGGTACACATGTGTGCATTATATTTGCATATTTGTTTCCAAAATGAAGTTGAAAAGTAACTGTACGTAGTTAATTGTTTCCATTGTTTGTTTTATATCTTGTCCTGATCATGTGTAGAAGATATTTTTAATTAAACACTTATTACAATTTATTCTAGGAAAATGATGTTATGGTACCGTTTAATACTACTGGAATATTTAGCACAATGTTGGAAGTCTTAATCAAAATTACCAAAAGACATCATTATCAGTAACAAACTTCCACCATTTACCTCTACCACACAAGACACTCGATCCATACCAGGTCCACTCCATAAACCACATTCTATTGAAAAATATCTGCAATGATATTCAACCCCGAACCAAGTAAGTCAATTCCTAAAACAAAAACGTATATACACAGACGTAAATCCTCAATTCCATTCTCTTAATTAATCCATCGCTTATTACGATTAAACAGGCTCCTGGCGTATATGAACCTAACCTAAACCCGATAACAACATTAATTATACCCAGCCGAGGAGAAAAAGCAAACAAAAACATTACACGGTATACCAAGGTAGGGCAATCATCGTTACGACGAGTGACAAAGATCGACGACAGTGGCGCTTGCTCTCGTCAGCGACGAGCATAGCGAGATCCAGAATTGACAAACGATCGGTCGAATTTTCCACGCTCCACGTACGGCCACCAGGCACACACGTAGAATCTTGATTGCGAAAATACCCTGGAACCGCGCGACCAAGCAAAGCGCATTTACATCCCCTCTTTCTCCACCCACCACCTCTTGCATCGTCAACGTGCGGCATGGCGTGGCGTGGCTTACACGCTTGCAAACGCGAGCTCTCTATCCGGTACGCGCACTCGTCGAACGCCTGGCCATTAAGTTGCCGGTGCAATCAGAACGTTTCGAGAGAGGGAGAGAGCTTGCACGAGTGTCAAGATTAATAATATGTCTCTGAAGATGCATCTGCTAGTCAGACGCGTGGAGAATATAGGTCGAGCTCCTCTCTTGCCTCTCTTCCTCTCTCTCTCTCTTCCTCTCTCTCTCTCTTTATCATCCATGTCGGTTTCGTTGAAAATATATTCGCGACTGATCGTTAATGTATCCCCAATAGCTGGAATTATAGCCGGATTCGCGTGTATCGATGTATCGTGACACCGTTGCCTTTGGCCGCGAACCGGCTTCTCTTTTTTCACAGGGCCGTAATTTTTCTCCTTTCAGGACAGCGACGGGGAGAAGAGCGATCAGGACTTGGTGGTGGATGTCGCGAACGAGGTCAGTTCATCTTTCTACATCAGCCAGAATTCGATATTTTTAGCGGCGAATTCATTAGGCGGAAGCTATCTGAGAGTACGTACGGGCTGCCGATGAAAATCAAGGACCTTCCTTCGGGGTTGATCATGATGACGGTGCATGAGCCGGGTCGTGGCCAGACTAGCGGATTTCTTCATTGTAGAAGCCCGGATTGTTGATTAAAAATATGTGTCCAAGTGGTTTTTGTAACGTGGAATCTTTTGTCTCGTTGACGTTGTATAATGTACCAACTGTGACCGTCTTTTATCTCTTTTTGTTTTCCACTGGTAACTTGTCTGCATTGTTCTTGTACCACTGTGTGTTTTTAATTGTATCTGCTTGTCTGTCCGATAATTACCAAAACGCGGGAAATATTTAGAGGCCTCTTGAAAACTTCAGAATTATACTTTGAAAACGAAGAGAGATATAAGTCCAGAAGATTCTACGATGATCAGGATTTATGAGATTCTCTAACTTCTCTGGTACCCTGGAAGCTTGTCGTTGATTTTTATTAAAACTCCGTATGGATTTGAAAGTACGATAGCAATAATACAAATTGGTATACATAGCTAGATGTTAAAGGAAATTTTGGATTTAAGTATTTATAATACTGACTAGATACGGAGGTAAATTTTGAGACTAAGTATTAGGAGAAAAGGAGGCTAGAGCTGGCAGTTTTCATGAAAAAAGTTTCTTTTCTTTCTCACAAAAGGAGGCGTCATCGCCACACGCGAACGGTGAACACTCAGATCCACGTGAGAACGGCACCCTGGAGAAGCTGGGCACTCCAGTACACGTGGGGCCTATTTCCGGTGCTGGCTCGACATCCGTAAAAGACAGACCACCCTCGCGGAGCGGAAGTTCCTCCGCTCGTAGCACACCGTCTCTGAAAAGTAAAGATGTAAGATCTCGCGGATAGCAAGCTTATTCGATGACTAATCGGTCCGGTTCTATTTTCTCGCCGGAATCATTTCTGCTTGCGATTCCTTCTTCGACTTTTGTAAAAGAGATTGGAAATTATTCCTTCGTTTCGATATGCATGCCGAAGTGCCTGAGGGTGAACGCTAAAATGATTCTGTGGTTTTCGATGACGAAGCTTGTATATACTGGAACTAAAATCGAGTTTGATAAATCTTTTTCTTTTATTTTTTTCATTTGAAACTGCGTTAAACATTTTACAAGGAACTGCAGACGATGTTGTTTTGTGTATGTTAAAAATGGCGAGAGGCTAATCTGATTTGTTTTGTCGTTACTCAATCCAATAACAGCAACGATCTAATAACAGATTGAACTAATAACAGTGTATAATAACAATCGATCTTAGATATTGTTTAGTGCTACATATTTGTGATGAATAATTTCTATTAACGGTAAACTCAATGTACGCAAGGTTTCGAATAATATTTTTGCATATCCATCTTTCTTAATGAGACAATTCAATACCACTGCTTATAGTGAAACACAATGTACGTAGGGTGAATCACCTGATGAGTCAGCTTGATTTATGCTACTATTGTTATGCGTAGAGAAAGTAGAAAATTTTCGAGAAGAGCCAATTTTAGTATTAATTCTTCCATCGGTGTTAGCTTGATTTGTATAAATAAAACTAACACTGGTAAGAGAGTGGTGATTTCCTAGCAATATTCCTTGAATCATTGATACTTAAATCTTCCATAGGAAATGTCCAACTGCGTCAATTAATTTATCTAAAACCAAAGTTGGTCTTCGCATGCTCTTCATGTATAATACCGAAGTAACAATAATGGCATAAATCAAGATACTGATATCAAGTGACTCATCCCATAGATAGGCAAGAGAATATATAATACAGTCGAATTCATCGAGTCCATAATTAAACATGAAAACACAGAGGGTAATATAGAAGCAGAGTCTGCATTCAGTTTCCAGGAACACTTTCGCAAAACGGATTCTACATATCCACCATTCGACTGCGTCATTATAAACCAGTAGATATGGATCTACTCTGCCCAGCAAAAGCGACCTTCAGAATTATTTCGAGTCACCTTGAGAATTTCGAAAACAACGGACACATTTCGCTGTTCACCTTGGCGCATCGTATGTACATTCATAGCACATAGCTGGAATTCGTGGCGCGAAGTTACGACAAGTCAATTTGCGCGGACGCTAGAGGAAGCAGCCCTCGTTCGATCCCCGTGTCTCTGTTCCGTCTGTATAAATCGCTGAACCGGAAGCGGCCGCTTACGCAGGCCGCGACAAGGATCGATATGTCTCGTTGCTTTTGTGCGAAAGTCAAGCGTGAAATTTACAATTCCTTTCTACGATTGCGCCCGATAATAAACCGGTGTGCCCCGTTGGAACGAACCTCTCCAGATCGACAAGCCGGGTACACCTGTGGCGGCGGCGAGGGGGTCGCGCAGCTGTACGCCAACTATGGGCGGAATCCCTGGTCCCTTGGCATCGCGGGTCTATCATCCGCCATCGTCGCAGCAAACGCCACCGCAGGGCTATCAGGGTTTGCCGTCCCGCGGCAATGAGCCGCCACAATCGCCTTCGCCGTACAGCAACTTACCATACGCCAGGACTTCGATGGTACTTCACGTTCTAGCTGCTCGTTTTTCTCGTCGTTAGCCATTTCCACCACGGTCTGTCACCGATCTAGGCGTTTCGAGGGAGGATTAAATATCTTCGTTTCTTGACCTCTTTTCCTTTTTCTTATTTTTTTTTTCTTTTTTTATTTCAATGATCTATAATCCTGGACAATTTGAGAAAGGTTTATAAGTGCTTTGAGTTAGCTTAATCTTCTTTTTTTTTTAGGAATATACTTTTGTTAAATATATATTCTTTTTATGGTCCATAATTGTAAGTGTTTTGTGGAAGGATTTAAATGTTTTGAATCACGTTATTCTCTTTCTTTTTCCTTGTTTCTTTTCTTTTTTTTTTTTTTTTTTTTGGGGGGAATTTTTTTTTTTTTTTCCTTTTTTTTTTTTTTTCCTTTTTTTTTTTTTTTCCTTTTTTTTTTTTTTTCCTTTTTTTTTTTTTTTCCTTTTTTTTTTTTTTTCCTTTTTTTTTTTTTTTTTTTTTTTTTTTTTATTGGGAGGAATGTATTGTGTTCATGTAATTCTTGTACCTTCAGTTTGCCAAATTCTTAATTTGCATTTATGGGATGTTTTATTTTGTAAAGGAACTGTTTATGGTGTTGGGTTGAGGTGAATATAATTATTCGTGGTTAATCAAGTGGTATTTAGGATTATTCAATAGTCACCTTAGGTCATATCGGGACACATCGAGAACATTCAATGTCAGTTACTGGTTAAAAAGTGACAGAAACTTCAAATTACTTTTTGTGTAAAAGAATTATATTGCTTTGGTCGATTCTGTGACACGTAGGTAATCAGTATTATTAATTTTAGTGTATATCTCTGGTGAATTTTGAGATATATTATTCGGAATGTAATATTTGTTCAAAGAAAAACAATCACAGACCATTAATGTCATCAATTAATGATTTCGAGAAATTTTAAATCGTCTGATTCGGTTCAAGACTTTTGCGAAGATTCCTTTGAATATTTATCTCCCTTATGAAACTGAATTATTAGAAATATCTAGGAACTAATACTCGTTTCTGTAAGTCGTGTTTGATATTAGACCTTCTTGCAGTTCACCATAAGTTTGAAGAACTTCGTCCATGTAACTGTATTGCATTTCAAAAATGCAAATTATATTTCGTTAATCCTTCTATTCTTGCTGGTATAGTTATTGTCGTAACTCAGGATATCAAAGTGATGATCTCTCTGCAAAAAGAAAGGAAACAAAATGTTTCAACATGGATACACCATTTAGTAGTAACAACTACTGTGTGGAGCTCAGGCGTTTGCACTTGGTAGGAATGCGGGTCTAATTGGCTGAAATGGCTAACTTTTTATATACGTGTCAAAGACAATATACAAAATTCTATTGTAGTAGAATTCTATACGGAATTATTCATACAGATTTCTATTATATACACGTACAACACAGTGTATATCATTTTAGGATAGGAAATCGTAGTGTACTGCACAGGTATGACTCTATCGATTTACCAAGGATTCAATTTACTACATTACTCTCCTCCTTTTCAAACATTAATATATTCAATGAATCGTGAATGTATTCTTTAAGAGCGTTGAATTACTCTTTTAACGCATTTATGACTATAACTTCTTCACTTTTTTGATAGTGAGATTTGGTTACAGTAAGAAATTTTAAAAGCTGGTTAAAGACCTTTGCTATTAAAGCATGAGACTTCTAAGAAACTGTTCTTTGGAACCACGTCAACAGCAACCAAAAACAGAATTTGGAACAACATGAATTCACGTCAGTAGCAACCGGAAAGAGGACTATAAATGACGTGAATTCACGTCAGCAGCTCGCAATGTGTTAAGAGGATAATGAGTCACCACAAATTTGGCGCTGGTCTTTCAAATTAGGACATCACATATCTTGTATCCGATGGCTGAAGAAATTTTGTTGGACTATTAGTTCCTATATATTACAATTAATAAGTCGATCTATTTTATAAGCATCCTGAGTTTCTATAAAAGAAAATAACGTTGTTATACATTTATCTTTCCATATTCGTATCTCACATTCCATGAATATGTTCCATAAAATGGAATATAAATAAAAATAATTACTTATTATTTAGTATAGTAGGATTCTCTTATCCACGGTTGATCGAGAAGCACAAATGTGTCCTGCTCTGTAGATATGGAAATTCTACGATTATGTCAGCAAGTGTCATTACAACCCCACTCTGTCGACTTCGAGAACGTCAAGGGTGGGGATAGGCGCAGCGAGTGAAGAACCCCTCCTGCCCCCCTGTGTCGTCCCTTGTGCAAACTCCTGAGCTCAGCACAACACATTTCCACACGAAAAATTGACACACTTTATTCTCTTTTACAGCTCGGCTTCGACGGTCACGTGAGGATACCATCGAGTAACGGGCTAAGCAACATTCCGGGTGGTAAACCGTACGTAATTCTAATTAAAATCGTTCTTTAGATAATCTTCCGAAGAATTCGCCGGAAACATTCCAACGTGACGTGTTTCAAGCTTGTATAACTTCTATTATAACCATCGAAACTGCCACCTGTAGATTATGTACTTTTCGAATAACAAGCTCATTAACTCGATCGACAACTGAAAAACAAAGGAACATATTAATTCCTATGATACAAAACAAAAATGACAGAGTTTACCGCGAACAATTACACAGATTATCTCAGAGGCAAAGAATCTATCGAACATCTTCGGTACGAGTGCCGATTGGAGCCGACAATAGCCGAATCTATCCCTAGCCGAACGTCGGCAAAAGTCGACAATTGCCGAATGCATATGTACGATGCATATATGCGGTCTGCAGTCGTCTTTAATCGGTTATTGTATTTAGTCGTTCTAAACACTTCATTAGAAATTGTCGACTCTTGTGCAGTTTCTCGGTTTAAATAATTATAAATTATAGTTGCATACATTGATAATAATACATGATAAAACACATATTATATGACAGTATCCCGCGCTACGTTTTCCCGCGCGAATCAAGTGACGCTATACAGCGAAACAGCTCTGATGTTCTGAGGAGGTTAACAATTCAAACATCTCAGCCTTATACTGATTACTACATATATGTATGTTTATAAGTACCTTTTATCGCTTTTTTTTTTTATTTAACATTATTTTTGACAAGCAAAATCTTACCAATGCATATTAGTTAACCTTAGAATACAAACGTTCATAAAATTTCTCATAATTTTTCTTTTTTGTTTTACAGTATCATACACTTTATCCTTGATTAATATTATTCGATTATTAATCGATAATAAAACATATTTTGGAACAATTAATACATGGCAGTGTGCTATGATCTTTACAAAATGTTCTTTTATAAACATTGTAAAAGGTAATCATTTTTCTTTATTTTGTTGAACATTTGTATCGGAACATTTTATTTTTGAACAATTTTCCCGAATCGTCCTTTAATTTTAAGAAGTATTTAATTAAATAGGTTATATTATAATTTATTTCGATATAGTTTTTGAAAAAAGTGAGTAGTCTATTGTATGACTCTTCGCACCATTATACATCATAAAAATAACAAACGTTTGTGTTCCAGGGTTGAAACCAAATTTAATCGTCAGTCCACCGATTTCTATTCCCTCTGAACTTCTAACTCGTCGCATACTTGACATTTCAACGAATAAACACATTACACATCGTCAAACTATACACGATCGTTCATTGCTTCTGGGTGTCTCTGGAAATGTCAACCCTCTACCATGCTCACATAACCTAAAAGGCGCGGCGTGATGCATTATCGTTTCGATGGCCGCCTTTCGCCGCGGCGCGAGCTTTTAAGTAATCGAAGGCATTCCATTACGTAAGGACAGAGGCATTAATGTTTTGCATTCCACCGCAGAGCGTACTCGTTCCATATGAACGGCGAGGGTCAGCTGCAGCCGGTGCCATTCCCCACAGACGCTCTGATAGGGCCGGGAATTCCACGTCACGCGCGTCAGATTAATACCTTGACTCACGGCGAGGTTGTGTGCGCCGTTACGATCTCGAATCCGACCAAGTACGTCTACACGGGCGGTAAAGGGTGCGTTAAAGTCTGGGACATCGGACACGGAGGCGGTGGCAGTATCAAGCACGTATCGCAGCTGGACTGCCTGCAACGCGACAATTATATTAGGTCAGTTCCACGACCGGTCTGCGTACGTTTTCGCAGTATGTCCTGTCTTTCGATATGCCACTAGCGTTCCCCAGGATTATAGTAGATTTATCGCACCAAGTCGAGGTATAAGGAGTATACTCGTTTTATCCAATTTCGTTTAAGCGATTATATAAAAGAGCTTTAATTGACGAATTACGTAAGCCATTTTTGGTCCAGTTGGAGACTCTGGTATCAATCCTAGTAAATGACAGAAAATAGAGAATGTGGAAGTTACAAAATCAAACTTTCTAATTGTGTTTATTATACAAGAAATAGAAAATAAGAAAAGCGGAATTCTTGTTTACTTGTCATAGGTAGATAAGATTCCAGAACTGATAAGGGTAGCAATGGGCCAATTTCCAAGGCAACAGTGTATCCTTCGTCCGCAAGAACAAGATTAGGCAAGTGTTTACGTGTCCTCATTCTAGTTACAATCTACTAGCACCTCTGCCATCTCGCACAATGTCATTATTGTCCGAAATGGTGCCAAAGATCGACAACGGTTCATGTCGAAACTGAGTGAAATCGATGTCTTCACAGCATTGACGTAGCTTTTCCATAAAGTATCAGAAAAAATATAATTATTTTTACTTTGTATACGTTACCATTAATTTGATATTCTACTAACGAAAAAATAAATTTAATCGTAATTTCGCATAAAGTTTTTGTAATTACTAGCTCGAAATTAATTTGTATTTATGCATATGTTCATCAATAATTGGTACTTTGATGAAGAGGCTACGTCGATGTCCTGAAGACATCTTTCGATTTCACTTGATTTCGATACGATCCGTTGTCGATCTTCGTCATCATTTCGGCCAATAGCAACAATGCGTGATAGTACGGAAGCTGGTAGGCAGTAGCGAGAGTGGAGGTGTAAACACTTACCTAGCCTTCCGGCGGGTGGACGATACCGTGTCACCCTCTCGACTTGTTTTTGCGTTAGTCGTGCCATCTATCCTCATTCGCTACATATACAACATAAATATCAATCTACAATAGAGTTACTGCTTTCCGATACAGGTCGGTAAAGCTACTGCCTGACTGCAGAACCCTGATAGTTGGAGGGGAGGCGAGTCAGCTGATCATCTGGGACTTGGCTAGTCCCACGCCGCGAATCAAAACGGAACTGACGTCTGCGGCACCGGCCTGTTATGCTCTGGCAATTTCGCCAGACTCGAAGGTCTGCTTCAGCTGCTGTAGCGATGGTAACATCGCCGTGTGGGATCTGCAGAACGAGACATTGATTCGACAGTTCCAAGGCCACACGGACGGTGCCTCCTGCATCGATATCTCGGCGGACGGTTCGAAGCTGTGGACTGGTGGATTGGATAATACGGTGCGTTCGTGGGACCTAAGGGAGGGCAGACAGTTGAAGCAGCACAATTTTACCTCGCAAATATTTTCGCTGGGCTACTGCCCGACCGGAGAGTGGCTCGCTGTGGGTATGGAAAATTCGAACGTCGAGGTCCTTCACGCTTCCAAGTCCGATAAATATCAACTACATCTACACGAATCGTGCGTGCTGTCACTTCGCTTCGCGTCTTGCGGTAAATGGTTCGTCTCCACCGGCAAGGACAATCTGTTGAATGCATGGCGCACACCGTACGGCGCATCGATATTTCAGGTGTGTATCTAAACAAATATTTTCATATATAAATTATTTTTGTTTTATGCTATTCGTATTTTATTTAATTCTAAATTAATGTTAATTGATGAAGATGATGCAGTATCAATTATATCAAATAGATAACAATACAAAGCATTATCTGCTTCAAGTAGATTCATTTTTCTCTGGATCTTCGCCGTTTGTATTTGATGTTATTATAACATTAACCTTCGGAAACGATAAATCTACGTTGAAGGAAGATATCTGATACAGTTGACAGACTGATATAAAGATCTTTATATTGTTCTTAATAGTACAAAAAGATACTTAAACTAGGTAAAGCTAAGTCTCACTTTCTTGGAAACAATTACTCAAAATAATTTGTTTCTTCAAGACCACTGAGGAAATAAATTCTTCGTACCATTTAGATTTTATACTACGCTAAACGAAAATAGAGTAGGGTAACTCCTTCGTGTCAGGAACTTAACAGAGTAGGAACTTTAGATATCTTGTTTCTCCTGTTTTCGTCTCGCATTTGGTTCGTCTTATTAGCTCGATTAGAGGTAAAAGGATACAAATGTAACATTAAACATGTACAATTTACAATGCACTTGAAGACACAAGGTTGTAAAACTAACCTAAAAATCACCATATAACAGTTACGTATAAAAGAAATCTTCGAGATACATTTTTGTCATAAATTTGTACGGGTTAAAGTAATCGGTAAGAAGTATATTTCCTATCAATTCATGTACACGATTATAAGGACTTTACATCTACCAGAATTTTTGCGCCAATCTCGTAACGGATAACCTATTTTCTACACGTATTGCTAGACGTACCATGTCACGTTGCGTGGAACCGTGCAAAAACGAATCTTCAAGCGACCACATGGGAATCCATATCAATTCTTTTTGCAGTCGAAGGAGTCCTCGTCGGTGTTGAGCTGCGACGTCTCTGCCGACGACAAGTACATCGTGACCGGATCCGGTGACAAAAAGGCCACTGTATACGAAGTGATTTACTAGACGCGTACGGTAAAGACGTTTCACGTTTTCCTCCCTTGGTCGAAACCTGAACTCTTTAACACGCTCTCCCTTTTCGCGGGAGATCCTACAAGTGAGACTTTTTAGCAGCTTTAGGAACCTAGACTGTTACTATACTGTGTATATATACATAACGAGTCTGTATTAACAGTAGAAATTGCGTTCGAAAGAAACAAAGCACAGACGAACGAAGAGGAAAAGAAAAAAGCAAACAAAGAAAACGAAGAAAAAAAAACTGATGCTAATTATGATGACGATCGAAAAACCAATGTGTGTGCCAGAGAAAAAGCTGTATATGTATATTTAGGAATTGCGTGTGCGTGGCCCAACTGTACCTACGACCGTGTGATTTAACGTAGGGGAAACTTTCTTTGTCGCGTGTATACAACGAGAAGTGTTAATGGGACGTTACCAAGCGATTTTGCATGCGCGTTAAGTGACCAGGAGAGCCTTGCAGATGGTGATGCTAGATACAGTTTCGTATAAGTACCTAATTATAGAATCAACACGCCCAAGACGACATCATACGACAGATAACACGAGAAGAACGAACATTCGAAGCCTGTCTAACGAAAATTACACTTGCTCTCGCTTACGGTAATTTTCTTCGAAACTTTTACAATTTTTGCAATCACTGTCCTTTAACGTATCTACGACCACGATGGTGACTCGAAGCATGTTATTGCTGCATACCTGGAACCGTTTCGAGAAACTCGCTGGCTGTAGCTACCTTCGAATATGCGTTTTACTTATAGATCAGAAGCAACTATAGTCTTCTGTCGGTTAATATTGTCGATATAATGTTTTATGCTGATAGCGATATGTTGACATCAACAACAAAAAAAAAAAAAGAGGCAAATGAAAGATATATGTACATCGAATTATTTATTTCATGTAAATTGTTCATTTCGTTGGAATACTACAGTCGCGAAAGGAATCGATCGTTCAAATGTTCGCACATCATCCATTGTCGAAGCGACTGAAAAATTCACAAAGAATTCGTACAGAAGTTATTGACTAACGATGATTCTGCTGTTTCCACCTGAAGAAGGAAAGTAAACGCGAGACCTGTACTATAGGAGCAGTGTTGTGTATTGTCTACATGCCGATCGGTCATGACCATTAATTAATTTTAAATATATCGATGAAAAATAATTGCCTTTTCTATTGAAAAAAATTTGCGTGAATAATTGTCCGAGTCTTTTTCAGCAAATTCTTGCAGTCTTGGGTAAGTAATTGCTTAATACTTTACAATTTGATCGAAGTCAACGAATCAGTGCATATTTGTCCCGAATGATTTGTAAATATAAAAAACGTGTCAGAAAATCTTCCAGTTTGAAGACTTCTTAATTAATTTGGTCATATTCTGTATAAATCGTAAAAATGTATTAATAAAAAAATCAATTTTAATCCTATTAGACATTTAAAAAAATTTAATTCGTTTTTACATTTTGACGCATTATCAAATGAAAATAATTTTAATGAAATAAATACGTTAAGACCGTATTTGAGCGTCCTGATTTATGCGCATCTACTTCGCGCAGCACGTGACCAAACACGTTAACAAGTGCGTTGAAACACAATCGCATGTCACGTCTCTTGTGCCCACAAATCATTCGACCATATCATAAATTATTTTGCTGTACGTCTACTGTGTTTCAAAATATACAACCAAAGTTAACCTTTCATTGTACACACTTGGAATATATTTAATGCTTGAAAATTGTATTAACTATACAAGTAGCAGTGTCATAGTGCACAGTGTTGCTCAAGTGTATTCTTACATTAACGTATTCTTAGTCTTTTTTAATACCTAATTTCATTTGTTGTATGTTCTTCAATCGTATTCGTTTTAGATCGTTTTAGATCATTCGAAGAGATATTTCTATAAAGATTTTTACATTTCGCGTAGTTAAATGTGAACAGAAAGTTGCATTAGCGCCCTACTACGAGTATAGCCTCTATTACGTCTGTTACGCTCGTTTCTGTTATCGACAAGCACACTGATATTGCGCGTACCAATCGAAACTTGCATTGTGCGTATGTGCATATGAATGATAAACGAATCCCTGTACAAAATTCTTATACATTCTCATCGATAATTTTTATTTATTACACAAGATTAATTGTGCCACGCGGTAGCTTGGTGTTTAAGTATATATACACCTATGTAAAATGGAATCATATGCACAAACGAGGCGAAACTATTTCTGTATTTGAAATAAATATCAGTTGAGTGGATAAAAACCAGACTAAATCGGTAAATTTTTAGGAGTGAGTAATCGTGGTGAACAACGGGTGTTATCTGCTCTGATTGGTGGATTTTGTAAAAATTAACTTGCAATGAGACAAACGCAATCGAAACATTTAAATCGTTCCTGTGAAATTCATCGTGTTAGAAAAGAGAAATTATAAAGGAGGTTAAACGGTAATAAATAATATTGTCCGCGAACCAAATATAACTACGTATAACTTTGATTTAAAAAAATCATTGGCGTAATATCGTGTCACATTTTATGGGAACGATTTAACTGAGTCGACTATATGCCGATAAAAAATTTCTTGCTTAAATGTTTAATTAGCGATAAAAGAGGTAAAGGCAGAATGTGTACAGGTAAATTTTGTGCGACCATGACTATTGTGCAATATACACGAGTACCGCTTGAAAATACTGTTTAAAAAAATTATCGATTTGTTTAAAATTTTTTTTATTAACATTTTTCTGCTAAGTACGATTATGGTTATCGGTAACAGGACAGGTGTGCATTGTGAATTACTTGCAACAAAGCTATCGATTAGTAAAAAGATTCGTTTTCAACTATATGCTAAAACCTTACGTTGACGTTTGAAAATGGCGCTTTTTGTATACTCTTTCCATGCTACAATGTTTTCATCGAGGGACATGTACGTGTGCACGTGTGTACGTAAAGAATAGTAAATAATTATGTCATTCCTACTTTACCTGCAATATAACGTTGAACGATCATTTTGTAATCTGGTATATGCAACACACATACACACACACATGTGAAAGAGAAACATTGGAATGAGAAATGTACACAAGCCGAATGGACGCATACATGTATAGCGAAAAGTACGTATCAAGTAAAAGTGACTCATCTTAAAACGTGTTTTTGAAGAAAATAAAGATCTATTCCACTTTTCCTCTTTAGCTGTAGTAATATACGAGAATCGAATACGTATTATACTTTTATTTATTGTCTCGCGTCAAAACAGTTTCTCTTTACCCTCTGAGTGTGATAAGAAGAAAAAAAAGAAAAAAAATTGAAAAATGAAATAAATTCGTTTCGTCACGCAAATTCACAGTGATTCTATAGTTGTTCGATGTATCGGTGACGTAAAATTGCGTTATAGCACGTATTACGTGCCAAAATTGGATAAAGTAATGTGTGATTAGTAAATGGGAAATAATAGAAGAAACGTATTTCATCGAATTATAGGTGTTTCCATTAAATACTGTTTGTGATACCATTGCATTTTAACCGTACTAATTCAGTATTAGCCTTAATAAGTTGGTACGAGCGGTTCTAATTTAGTGGTAGTGTAGAGAATGGTAACATAAATGGTGTTTTACTATTAATCGTGCAATTATAATGAAATGCACTTAATGTACAATTTGTGGATATTAGTGTGATGTAGCAGGATTTAATTCCACAGGGGATCTTATTACTTTTCTTTAATTTGTCACTATTTTCGTAAAAAATTGTACATATATTACAAACAAGTTTAAAACTTTTAACATTCATTTGTTCGTTACACAATTGCGCGTAATTACGTTCTTTTATGGTTACTTCATATTGTTCGCATTATGTATACACGTATCTATAAAAAGAACAGTACTATGACAATCTTGAAAACCGATTATTCGTTTGTCGCCGACAACAAAAATTAAAAGAGAGGATAGGATAATCCAGAGAAAGAGGAAACAAACGATAGGAATCACAGGTTTACTTCCGGTAATTTTTCGATGTATTTACATTTACGTGTATCTGTGTGTACAAGATCGTTAAAAACATTAAATGTTTATGCTCGCGTTACGATAATATATTCATGTATTTACATGTGTATCCGTGTGTACAAGATCGTTAAAAACATTAAATGTTTACAGGTTTATTTTTCGTATTGCCCCGCGCATCGTTAATTTCGCGTCTTTTTTTCCTTTTTTTTCTTTTTTAGTTATTTGTGTCTGTGTTTGTCTCTCTTTCTCTCCCTCTCTCGCGTACATACTCTCGATAACTCGTTCGTGCTTCTCGTACATTCTTTTCTTTGCATTCAGTCATCGTCGATTTTAAATATTTTCTCACATAACGTCGCAATTTATATACAAGTAGAAAAAACCTAATAACAATATTAACTATCACACCTTATACACCATTGCAAATGGCTGGTACATACATTATGCGCGTATAATTAAAATGACATTCGCATTGGTTGACATGTCTGATTTTCTTTTCTGCTCGCTATATGATTACTTCAGATCGTTTTTTGATAAGATCGGAAGTACAAACTCTCCTCGTGGAAAAAATTTTCATTAGGATCCGAAGAAAACTCTCCGCGCACATACTTGTACAGCTTGAACACATACACACATACATAACATACAAATTCCGTTCTCTCTGGTATGTACAACTAGAAAATACATAACACAGCTACTTATATGTGTACAAGTAACCGATTTTACAGGAAATGTACAGAGGTGAACGGTGATACTTCACGCTTACGTTCTTCTAGGACTTAAGTGTCCACGACGCCTGGTTCTACACTCGTTGGAAGGTGTCTTTATAATTTATCACTGAATTAACACGTCTGAAACAATGCGATATAGATCAGAAGTAACAAAGAATAGTGAATTATAGTCTACAAAAATACTCGAGAAACTGTGATCTTTACAAAATTGTAAACCGATTTATAAAGGATCATATGTAGACATTATTAGGAACGCACTATTTTTATGAATGGAAACACATCGTAGACATTACGATAAAAAAAAAAGAAAAAAAGAGAGAAATCGTACGTTTCTTTTTCCTAGTCAATATTAAATAAATTTGAGTATATGCATGAAATACTCGTAAAAATATTCACTACTTCGGAGAATATACTTTTATGAAAAACAGACAACCTTCCACCGTGCAAAATATAAAAATTCTTGCGTCTTGAGAATGATTATGCTTACTAAGCGCAGACGTAAAATACATTTGGTCGTAAAACTGTACGCTTCATGCCGGAGCGAGGCGTTCTTAATACATCCTTATTCTCCTGCAGAAGGTCCTTAATCCTAATAAAAAGCTATCAACGATTCGTACAAATTGCGTTCACAGTTTATGGCAACAAAAGTAACCATCTTTTCTTTGTTAGCTATTTTGTGAGACGCGAGTCTTACCGATATATCGCATAATGAAAAAGAAAAGGAAATAAATTTGGACAATAGGGTCAATTACACTAATCGCAAAATTAATAAACAAATTATTGGTAAAACTAAGCACAATCGTGCCTTCATTCTTTGATGTTAACCACAAAATTGAATGTGGATAACGAATTTCCATTTCTCTCTTCTCTTAGAAATAAAGTGATCACGGTGAAAGATACTTCGTATCGCTTTATCCCCTGCAATGTTGCCAGATTCAATTTTCGACTCTTAAATTCATGTTTTTGTATATTTAAGAGTATATCAAAATAATTTAATTTATGACTAGTTTTGCCTCTCGGTAACTTTATCTGACAGATACGTGATAAAATCCTCTTTTACTCCTGAAAACAGAATCTTGAATATCGATCTGCCACAAGTTAATCTGTCATATGTATTTACCTAGAAAAGCTATAACCAGTATTTATAAATTTTTTTCCTCTCATTAAATATCACATACATTCTAAATATACCTTTCGTTAGAATGCGTTTGACACAGATAATGGAACGATGAAAATACAGAATCTGGCAACGTTGTTGATATAGAGTGTTTGCGAAATATGTGCAAGATCCTTACGATCGATATTGTTTCGCATTCACTCTCGACATACACTATATTTACAAGTCGCGCTAGATATATCTATTACGTACACTATATTATCTTACTATTCTTAAGGCTAATTTAGCTTGCTGCACACACGTGACGTGGTCCATGTGACATCTGAAGACACTGGGTGGTCAGTCGCTGTCGGAGCCCACTGGATTAATCTTTTTTCTCTTTTTCGCTTGCTTTACATTTACAATTTCTTCTTCCTGTGTCATTAGAATTAAATACAATTAATAAACAAGAAAAATTACAACAGTTCAAATATTACCAAATAAAAGTGCTTTAAATAAAAGTCTTTTAAATTTACCTCACTACTAGATGTACTGTCCAAATGATATCGAGGAAGCGGCCTTTTTGAACTAGACCTTTCCCTCGTATTAGCACCAGTTTTTCTATGACCTTTACCACCTGCACCACCACCACCTCCAGCCGATGCTGCCGCATGTTTTCGTGCCGAACTTGTTGGCGGAGGTGGCGGAGGTTCATTTTCTTCGTTAACTTCCGCAAGAGCGAATAAATCTCCATAACTTTTTCTTAAGGAATCACTACTCGCTGCTTGTGCTTGTTGCAGAGCTCTTTGCATTCCTTCGGAATGATAAAGCTGCAATTCAGCAGATGACATACAATGTTGTCGTAATTGGTCTAAATGGCCAAGAACTTGTTCGCCACTAGGTGGACCAGGTTGTTGATTATGTTTAGCGCCAGATCGTTTCCGTTTGTTTGGACTCGTAGCAGGATAACGAGTACTCAAAAGATTTGCAAGTAATTCTCCAAGTTTTTCTTCGTAATCGCGGCACCAATAACGTAACGCAGCTACAACAAACATATCTCCATCCACGTTTTGCCGTGCAAGCAATTGTCGCAGAAGTTCTAACGTTGGCCTATTAAACGTAATTAATATTAAATTAGGTTTTTCTTCTTAAGCATCAAATTTTTTAATAAATAATTTACTTACTTTTCTTGTTTAAGCATAAACAATATCGATGTTAGTGCTTCTGCATGATCTCGAAATTGTAATTTCGGTAAAACAGGTAATACATAATCGATTGGAAAATCATGGGCAAAAATGAGTTGCCAAAAACAGTACTGTTCAAAAGTTTCCCAATTTAAACTTGCTGTTAGAAGTGACGTAAATGACTCTTTTTTTAACATTTTTAAATGTCCTTGCATTATTTGACAAACTAATTCTTGTAATTGGCATGCATCAACGGTCGAGACAACCAAATGTAATAACTGAACATTTCCAAGAGCCACATTTTGAAATCCCATATATATATCAGGCACAAGATAACACAACATAAATATGTTATCTTCATGACAGAGCTATGAAAAATAATGTACATACGTGGTGAAATAAGACAAATTAAAGTAACAAAATAAATTATTATTGTGATATTACAATTTCTTATTTTGGATATTTACATACCTTTAAATCTGATACTAAACACGCATCTAATTTCTTCTCCCGATGTACACAAAAATCTTTATATACTGATGCTTTAACATCATTTAACATATTACTGTAATAAATAAAATAATAGAAACATATAATATAATATAGACCTACTTTTTTTTACATTCATGTAATTTACATTTTACTACCAACCTCGGTTCGCCTTCCCGCTTTTCTTCTTCTCTGCCCCAGACTTTTAAAAAGTACAGTAACAAGTAACCTATCCTTGGTTGAACGTTCTGAATCTCTGCAAGCACCCGTGCTAAAAGTTTCCGCCTATTGTCCTCTTCTTTACATAACTGAAACTGATTTCGAAACATAACAAACAACGGCGTGCTTATACTATCAGTCAAGGCTTCTTCATTCAAATTATCTGATGGAAATATTTGGGATGTAATTTGTGAGGATAAGATAGTTGATATGCAAGAAGCTAATGCTGGTATAGTTTCTGCGTCTATTTCATCTTCTACAACCATTTGTACTATCCTTTCCATCGTTTGACACCTCACTTCATTGTCTGTTTCACTGTGCAAACTTTCTACAGCAGTCCTTAACTCTTCTGGTTCTAAAATTAAATTTAACTGAGATGCAATATCTTCTTTCTTCACAACACAATTTGCATTTTTTTGTTCATTTTTCAACTTCACATTTGCCAATGGAACATCTTCTTCATCTTCTTCTTCAACCTTAGTCACTATCCTGTAATATTACATATTCCATAATGATATAATCATACTTTTACATTAACAATTATAGTGTTATATGGAAAAAAAGGATATAAAATCAGGACTAACCTTAATGGCATTTCTTCTTCTTCATCACTAAAAGCTGGTTCTGGGTCTTGATTTACATGATTATTTTCGACTGGTATGTTTGCTGCATTTTCCAATATAACTCCTGGTGTTAGATCCTTACTAAGTTCCTCCATTTTACCTGAATATACAGGAACCTTATTTCCTGCTTAAAAAGATCATGCAAAAACCAAAGTTAGTAAGCAATAAATGTGCTGTAAGCTTGAAGAAAAGGTGAATAATAAAATTTGTTAAAAGGACAGACCAGAAGATGAGACTAATCTATATTTTAAAAAGAATGATTTGTTAAAACCACAGAATATAAGCCCAAAATTAATATATAATAAATGTTTTTGATCCTTATATCTATTTAATATGTTAATCTTAATGTATATATTTATATTTACATGTTATATGTAATTTTGAATTTTTAGTGTACCTTTAGTAATAAGTATACCTAATAATTTGTGTATGTGCAACAGTAAGCTATTTTTAGTGCTCTCATTTTAAATAATTTATATCAAATAAACATGCAATATTGTATAATAGTTTTACCAGGATCTGCATTAGGTGGTAAACAGAATTCTTTGAACGTTTCTCTTATTTTGCTCCTTAATTCGCGGTCTAACTTAGGACTGTCGAACAATGGATAAAGACTCGGCAAAACCCGTTTCTCTAAAATCTGTCTTAATGATGAAAAGATTCCATTTCTCACTTTTTCTGTTAAGGGTGGATAGAAATTTGGTATTATCTGTAAATAAAGATTACAATTCAACAATTTTAAAACCATGATAAGTTGTTAAAATGTACATATTCATTTACCCTGCATAAAAAGTCTAACAGTGTGGCAGTGACTGGTGGATGGGATCTCATAGAATTGTGCATGACAAGAATTGCAGGTTCAATATTCATAATATTATCTTTCTCAGGTTCAAAGAATAACCAGTCATAAAATAAAGCCAATTTAGCATTACTTGCAGCCACAGTTGATGTACAAGTTGTAAATAACCATCCTATTACTGCCCATCGTGGTATGATATCTGAACATAACAACTCATTTGTTGGATGAATAACACCAACAATAAATCTTATAAGGTCACATCTCAAGGATTGTGATTCTGGTGTAGCCAGGTACTGCCTTTGAAACCAATCTTGGTATCGTTTATGATTACCAAAACGCACTTGACTGGTTAAAAATACTAATTTTCTCTCCATATCAGGTGTAAGTCTAGACTGTAGAAACCTTCTAGATGTTCTAGTTTGTAGAAGTTGAAGGACACCATTGAAATTTGGACAAAGAGACTTTGGATTGAGAAGAATGTCTTTCCAAAGTGCCTCAAATTCAGGTATCCGTGCCACATTTTGTAATAAGCGTACCAAATCCCTAAAAAAATTATATTATTTTTACAACATTTTCCTTTGCTTTGTAAATATTAATAAAAAAGAGTGTTAAATCATTTACCTTCCAATAACCAAACAATCAACCATGCGTTCTCTTATTAAAGATACAGTAAAGGTAACTTCTTTCTGACGCAAACCAGATAAATGAGGTGCAATATGATCTTCTATTAATCGTAAATAAGTGTAAACAATGGATGCTACTAAAAAAGGAAACTTATCCAGCCAAGGTCGATTTTCTTGAAAAATATCTAGAAGTGCATCAACTAAAAACAAATTTCGTGGTGAAATATCACCACCAGCAGCATGCCTTAATAAACTTAAACAAAGGTTATCCACACTAGCTACACTAGTTCTTATCATTTCCCTTAACAGCCATAATAACTGACTTCTGGTCACATCATTCAGTCGTAGGTATCTTTCAAGTACTAATTGATTAAGGTGCCCTAACACAATTGCAAGACCATCTCGTGTAATTAATGTCAAGTCTCTGTAACTTTTTGCAGCACTTTGTGGATCTGTCAAAATGACTACCAACAATCCTAATGAAACTTCTTCATGTGTCTTGTCTTTACACACAGCATTATTTAATGTATCATGGGCTTCTTTTTCAGATAATCCTGCAGTCAGGTTTTGAAGCACTGTATAACATCTTTCAAATTTCTGAAAATGAAAAAAGAGAGAGAAAGTTCTTTAATATCAAGTAACAACAATATCTTTTATAAATGAAACATACACTAAATACAAAGAACGTACAAGAACTGTAACCTATTTGAAGTTCTGTACTTCACATTACAGGTCATGTATTTGAAAACATGTTGATGTCATTAATAAAGCTATTTTAATTTTAGCATCACATTAACAAATTTAATAATATCTCTCATCGATATGCCATTCCTGTAAGATTTCACTGGATATTGTTCATTAATAAATGATAAAAATTAATTTCATAATTATGCAAATGATTCAAATATTGCCGCTAAGACGCGTGGTTCGACGTGTGGCGCCGCGCGGTCAGCGACGTGCGCGACCGTCGCAACAATGGCGGAACCCCTAGCACCCGATACGTATCCAGTGACTATTTGAAATATTTATGTTACCTCTTCCAAGTCGTCCTTATTCTCTATGCAACTCGTGCTAAGTAGCCGGGACGCGGGAGTTTTCGTCTGTTCCATAGCTGCTGACTGGCCCACGGCCGTCCCGTAAACGTTATTCTAGGCCCTGACGAGCCCTCAGCCCTCAGCCCTGTGCCCCTGGCCGCTTGTGCTCGCCTCCGTGCATCGTGATCGTCTCACTGCCTGTTCGTTCTCTATCTTTCTCTCTTTCTTTCTCTCTCTCTCTCTCTCTCCTTCCCCACTCTTCGTCTCTCGCGCGGTCTCTTCACTCTGTTTATTCCTTACCACGGACCTCCCCGACTCCCTGAACTGTTCCGATGCGATTGCGCATTGATACATGCGCCTCGTCGCTTCTCGGCCTCACTTCGTGACGTGATCGCTCCCCACCAGTGATACCAATCACTGGCTCAACCAATGGTCGTCCACCAACCCGTACACACTGATGGACATTGGTGGGGATACCGTAGAAAAGTAGTGCGGCTAGCAGGAACGTATTTATTAAAGGCGCGCATTCGGAGGACGGTCACCTCAAAGTGTCTCTGAACCTTCGAAGCAGTGTATTTGCTGTGCCAAACTTTGTGAAAAAGGGTTTAGTCTTTTCGCGTTTAAACGATTCGTTTGAGGTGTCATACGATCGTGTATTGATTATTCTTTTCTTCTAAATACTATAGAATTGCATACACGCGTATATTCGTACGATTGTATATCAAATACTTCATTATATTCTGCATATTGATGTTTATTACTATTAGAATAGATACAAACGTGTAATGTATTAATATACACAAATAATCGTGTGTTTTAATGGTATTTTAATCGTGTAAAAAGGAATAAATGTTCTTTACGAGTTAAATCATTAATACGCAAAGTACAAATATTAATGTATTCTAGCAAACTGTTGCATACATTTGAATATTTCACAGTAAGAGTTATAATGAAAACTACATACACATTTCATTTTCAGTTATTACGATAGCTAAGTGTAAAGGAAAAGTTAGATAGATTAATGTGTTATTAAAATACAGCCAGTAATAGGAGGTCTAAAATTCATTTGCAAGAAGTGAGAATGGTAACACGAGGTCATCGGCATCCTGACTTTAAATTACGTTGAACTTTATAAAAATAACTCAATCATTGTTGTAGGAATGGAAACAATATAGTGTTAAAAATTGTTTCGGAAATATTTGTGCATTACCTTTTTTTAAAAATTTATATATTTTGAGAAACAAACATGGCATACTTCACGGGAAGAATTCATAAAAAATTATGAAATTTGTTCACACCACACATTTGTTAGGGGTACCTAAATCTACCACTTCATTCATTGTATAGGCACGTACATGGGATTTTCAATTGCGCATGCGCTTGTCTGTACGCACGAAGAGGCTACTCGACTAATCGTATTGGGTGCCCCGGCCACATTTCCCGCTTTTCGTTTCCTCGTGTTACTTTTTGAACGTCTTTGCGTTCTTTTCTAAATTCCTGTTATTTTGTGGTTTAAACTACACTCGAATATTTAAAAATTTGCGCATTTGTTGTAATTGTATACATTAAAAACATTCTGTTGCGTTTGTAGCATTTCTGCGTATCAATACGTTCGTGCAACGTCAACCTAACCCCCAATAAGTGCAGGAGCCACAAATCTGGCATCACATTACGATATGTGAAGCTTTTCTCCAGGTATCCGTGGTGCTACAATCCTTTTTTCCTTTCTTTTTTAAATTCTAACATACACTATATAATTATTTTCTTTTCTGATTACATTAGTTTTTGTTCCTTGGTTATGATTCGACTTGAGGACTTCTTTAGCTGAAATTTTCCATGCAGATGTTAAAATTTTATTGTTTTAATGTTACAAGTTTTAATAAATAAAATGAAAAATTTTCCATATTTGATGTTTATTAGTTTAACTGTTTCAATAACATATGTTGATGCGTTACGTGAAGTTGTAAAAATTAATTATATATTCAGCTATTAGTATATGGAATGTTTAAACAATGTACCATTCAATCTTAATAGTTGGCACAATAAAGTATGACAAACTTTATTTAGCAAAAAATAATTTCGTCTAAACTTAGTATAGCATTATACCTGAATTTTATTCACTGAAGTCATGTATGTAGTTTAGATATATTATTTTCATACTTCATATATTACTATTTTCTTTGTCCTGTAATAGAATTAAATGAAAGAAATAAACAATGAAGAAAAAACAGTGAATATTATTAGTGAATATTATTATTATTATTATTTTATTTTTGAGCAGAAGGGAAGTTCGATATTTTACATTAATATTTAAGTACTCTAATATGTACCTTTCAATGATTTTGAGAGAAATAGTCTGCTTGAACATTCTACAATGCTTACCTACTTGTAAACGTCAATGAACGCATGCGCATAAGAGAGTACCGTGAATAGTCTTTCATCAGGATCGTATAAGATGGAGACACAAAGAGGCGAATATATCCAAAAATGTAGTAAAAATAATTTATTTTAACTTTTTTAATAAAGTCTTTCGTTTATTAGAACTATCTTTTGCAAACAATAGTATTTTTTCACAGTTCATAAAGAATAAAAAATAAATTCAATGTTTTAAGAAATGAAAGATTGTTATTCTATAACAGACTTATTGATTTTTTAATATTCCATAAAATCCTATTCCTTGATACATGTAATTTTATAAAATTATTTTTCTGATGAAAATTTATACATTATATAGCCATCAGAATTTTTGATCTATTCCATTAACTTTCTTGCGCTGATCTATCGCGCCGTTATATTATTTCTTACAATCGTGTATAAGCATATGCAAACTTAATATTTGTTACAGAAAAAGTAAAGTATGCTAATGGTATAATTCTTGATATTTTATACTAAGTGTTATATATATTTGTTTTCTGTTGGAAAATTAATTTGGAATCATACACAATTAGAAAGGATATGTACTTAGTAAGTAACAGCCTGTGCATTTGAATTTACACTTAACAAGCTCTCACTGATTTGCGGATAAGTGAGTTTCAAGCACCTGGCGTATAGCCAATGCGACTGAGAAAAAACATGTTATCACTAACATTTTTGATTAAGACAAATATTGTATTCCTTCGTATTTCATATAAAAGAGTATCAATGAATTCCGACTTTTTTATATTTGACAAATTTATATAAACATAATTTTTTTATATTATTAAATATACATATATATATGTACGTGTATATGTACGTTTATTTATTTATTATATTTAATATAAAAATTTAACGTTTCTATTTCTTTTGTTTTTATATGTCAACAATTTTATAAGTTTAATTTACATAAGGATGTATTCGTGTGTAAAATTTATATATTTAAATAAACAATCACTTTATATTAACATTTTAAATTATAGCAAATATTGCTAATAATTAATTTAAAAGTGATTCACCCATGCATTAGCTAGGATATTGATTCAGTAGAATACTTTACATTGGAATTGATATGATAACTCATCGCATAACGGGTTATAAATGGAAGAGTTTAATATAATGATGTTTGCTGACTTGAGTACAGTATATTGCGGTTAAGTAAAAAGTGTTAATTAATATGTATGAAATGTGTATCAGGAAAAATGAGTTTGTGGACATAATTTTTAATTACATATTTTCACTCAGATGTATTATCATATTAGCAACAATGCATAAATATTTGATGTTATTAATGTCAAAGTAATTAATGCGTAAGCGATCAATTTACGAAGGGTTATAGTATAATGTAATCGTCGCATAATAACAGTTTAGTTTTGCGGAAAATGTCGATAAATTCTAATATTTCAATCTAATCTACTTTAAATAGTAATAAAATCTGTTGAGATAATTGCACAAAAGTAGTGAATAAAATATTACATTTTCTAGATATTACTATTAAATATTTAAGTTTTCCTATCTGTATGTATAAGGTATTTATAAATAATTTGCTTTATATGATTCCATGAAGTACTTAATATAATAAGATACTGACAAAGCTGTGATATTAATGCATATTTATATTAAAAATTCTTTGATACTAATAACAATATTAAAACTTCTAAATTCATTCAAGCAAAATAAGATACGTACAATTCCAGAAAAGTATATTTAAGAATTTTGAAATTGTTGATTGTGTATTAACTTATGCACATTCATTCGTGCAATAGAAGCATAATATACAATGTATATAAAATTTAGAATATAAATGAGATGGTATGTTGTATGTATATATGTACTTCTAAAGAAATTCTGTTTTGTCATTGGTTATTGCAACGGATAAGGAATAGAACAGTTATCGTGCAAATGTAGTGTTTAGTTAGAATTTCATTATGTTTATTGTGTTTAGTGCAAAAAATTGAGTGTAAGTAATCGCCCTTTGATTTTAAGAGTAATATATTCGTTGTATGAGTCATATAAAGATACTGCTTGGGTTGTTTGATCCTAAAATATGTTTATATCAAACAGTGAATGATAAATTATTTTTTGCAATTTTTTTCATTGAAATTGAAACATTTGATGTTTTTAAATACTGATATAATTCTATAACAAATAAAGTTTCTCTTATCATTTGAAATTTAGAAATATTTGTACTACATAACTTACCAATAATTATATTATCATTGCAGCCTTATCTCCTATGATATATCTCAAAAGGATTAAAATATTATTATATTTGATTTAGATGGATTCAATTATTAAATAGGAGATATTGTTTGATATCAAAATTCCTAAACATAAAGTACAAAGAAATACAGAAATTCTGGCACATTTTCTCAGTACTTTAACGTCATTTAACAGTAACTGAAGTATAAAATGTAAACAGTCCCAATATAATTTTCTATTAATATAACATTAATCATAAACATTCAGTGCTTTCCTGAGATACTAAAAAGTATACGAATTTAAAATTTTAAATTTACATAAAAATGCATATATATCAGTATCAAAGCACACTACGATTTTCCTTTCTTGAATCTTTGTCGTGCTTGTGCTTTGCTATATTTGGGATGTTTTTCTTTCTCATTGTTCATTTCATTTTCAACATCATCAGATTCTTCTTTATTATCACCGAGGAGATCCACTGGAGGTTCCAAAAGAGATTTTCTTTGACACTTTACAAAATAACGGAACCCCTTCGCAATGCCAAAACCTAGCATTGCTATAGACATTGTTAATAAGGCCATCAAAAGAGGATGCTGCATCCAATGAAAAAGAATTAAATATTCATTATATAAGTTTGTTTTAAAATTGATTTCTAAATATATTAAACTGATACATATACCGTTAATGTAGGTTTATTTGTAAAAACATAATCGGCAATTACAACTATTACTCCAAGTATAATACCAACACCAGCACCAAGCCAGGGTATTTGTTGGTCAGCTATAAAATAATTTAGTATATTAAAATATCATGTAAACCATCTTTAGCATGATTATTTTAATATTATGAATATAATACCTCGTTTGTCTTTAATTAATAATTTGGATACTCTGTTCATTGCTTCTAAAATTGTTGGTTCATTTGGTTGTAGAGATAAAGCTTTATTATAAGACTGAAGTGCCTCACTAAAGCGAAATGTTTGCGATTCTACTTCAGCTTTTCTAAAATAGCCCTATAAAAAGTTTGAATATATTGGAATTTTATTCATTATTATATAAATATATATCTAACATTCCAAATATATTTCACAAAATTTATTTCTTGTTTATAACTATAAAAACATTATTATAATAATGTAATGTAGATATACCTTGGTCCAATCAGGTTTTAATTGAATTGTCATCAGTGCATCTTCCATTGCAAAATGATACTGATGTAATTTTAAAAATGCAAATGATCGATTGCTATATAAAGAATAATTTTGTGGATCTAGATTAATGGCATGAGTGTAATGAAACATAGCCTCTTCGTATTTTTGATCTTTCACACATGCATTTCCGCGTTCTTTAAGACTTTGTACCTTCAATGAAATTGTGATAATGTAATAAGTGAAACACTGCAATGTTAACTTCAAATTCTTTTACATTATAATGTTAATAACACGTAACGTTTTGTATTAAATTATACTATAAAATCTCATGTTTTGATTATCGAATAATTATTAAATTTGTATCATTAGAAAGTAAAAAAAAAGAAAATACTAAAATATAGATACGAAATTTACAAATGCTTACCTCTACTTCTCGTGTGTTCGACATGATTTACAATAATTTTGATGCTCAATTACTTAAAATAAGTTTTACAAATTATTACTTAATGCACGTGTTATCATTGTCCTTCAGGCAACTCCTAAATAACTTCTTATCTATTAAAAATAGTCAACAGTAAGAAGCAGCCGAAACACCTGCCATGTCTTTTCCACCGGTAAGTACATGCGCAGCGAACATTGACATGTAATACTGCACTGCGCATAGTCCTCCACCCGTTGTCAGCTGTACCGTGTTGAAAAAGCTCAAGTAAGACAAGGACAAACGCTGATTGTACTCTTTCTAATACTCGACGACCTCCCATTGGATATTGTCGTTGAAGAGCCGTGGACGCAAAAATGGGCCAACGATCTTCACCAAGCAAGCACAACTCTTTTAGATGTCTCGAAAAGACAATCAAATAGTTATCAGATACAAAGCAAGTTATTATATCTCAATAAAACATTTTTGATCATTGAATTAGATTTGTATTAAATATATATCTACAACAAAATAATCTATGATGTCAGATCAAGACAAGCCGAAATAAATATGTATCTAAACTCAATTATCTGTATCATGTTTACAATGTCACTACATTAACGAACAATGAAGCTTATATAAGAGAAATTTATAAGGCATTTCGAATGACGCAACAATTATCAGCGAAAGAAAATAAGAACAAAGGAAAATAGAAAAAAGGACAATGATTCTTTTATCATCATTTTAATGTTTGAAATTCTCCATTTCATACAAATTAAGTGGGGGCATTATAATACAAACTTAAAATATATACATCGATATTTCGTGAAACGTCTCAAATAACTATGCAACTCATCCATTAATCCATAATCTATAGATCTCTTTCCGTTATTATTGATTTATTTTTTTGTATGTTTTTTTGTTTCGCTCGAACCTACTTCGTGTATACTGTGCAACGAAACTGGCAAGTCGTTTGAATAAATATTTTTTTTTTGTATAATTAGCCGTCAAAATTGATCACGGCCAATCTGTTGTATTTCTAATAAAGAGCGTCCATAGTAAATGGAGAATCGAATACGTGCTCGTTTTAGTCAGTTCGACGAGTGGAATTAGAGGTCTTTCGACGTTAATGACGAAATACTCTCTTATCCTGATTATCGACGAAACGACAGGCACTAATAGCGAGTGTCGAAATTACTTTATCCGGATCGATTATTTGCATCGATCGCTCGAGAGCAATGATCTCTGTCATAAAACCGTGTTTCAAATAGTTTTTCTGTTTTTTTTCTTTTATTCGATGACTAAAAACTTGCTTGTTCGTTTTCTACTAATATTACATCTTCGACCAGGAATAAATCTTAGCGAAAATAACGGATGTAATGACCATTTCTCGAGCACAATACGAAAAAAAGATCGATACAGCGGACAGATTAAGAATTCTTACGATTATTGGAGGACAAATGGCAAACATTTGCATTCTCGCCAAGTTGCTGTATTTATTATTGCCCAAGTGGGACGGAAGTCACGGATGATTTGGCACTCCTGTTTCATTTTCTAACGCCTATTCACTTACGCGTTCCTTTTTCTTTCATTTTTCTCTGCATGCCTTTTTTCTTTATTTTTATCCAGTTATTCTCTCTCAACGTATATCTGTGGATCGACGATCAAAATATTAAATCATAAAATGGATATATACGAGCCAAAAAAAAAAATTACTACCTGATATAAAACACCAGTTTCTTGGTTAGAAATCGATTTATCTGTTCTCACAGAATCTTCTCAGAAAAGGGAATGGACCAATTTGAAAACAGCATTACACAAGTCTGTCGAAAACAATGGAACACGGTCGACCGAAGTGAGAATGAGATAATTTAATCACGCACGCAGAACACGCGAAAAAAGAACAGCCAAGAAAGAGGTGAATCCGCACCGGGACGAAAACTCGTTTTCCACGCGCAGTCACGTGCGCGTGATTCGATCGTGAGTCGATTCGATTCTCCATTGACATGAATCGCCATGTTCACCGTGTACACGCATCTTACTTTTTTTTTTTTTAATTTTTGCTTTTGTTTTGTTTCCTTATGCACAACCCACATCAGTATTGTTACTCGTTACTGTAAATTGTAAGTGTAAATTGATTTTTTGTCCACGCTTAAAATACATTTTATACATACTCCGCCTACGTTCTCGCATATAGTCGTCACCATAATCGTCGTCGTAATCAATAAATCGTCAAGCAGTAGTCGTCATCAAAAAAAAACAATATATCATAATATATATATATATATATCGTAGGTCGCTTTCATCGTAAAATCCATCGACTTACTCCTTTTTCTCTGTTCTTCTGCAAAGAGAACATCATCATCCTTTTTACGCGTCAATCATATCCCCATCACGCTCACAAGTTCTCATCGTTAGTTTTTCTCTTTTTCCTTTTTTTTTATAATTTTTTACGTTTTGAGTGGCATCCTTGTGGTTTCTTTTTTCTTTTATTCGCTCAATACTTTCAAACGTATGTATTTGACACGCACGGCTCTTGTGTTTTTTTTTCTTCTGCACTCGAATAAAACAGAAGTACGCGGGGAAACGGCCGGAAGTACGCGTGAAACAGAATCGTAGCAGGAAGCGGAGGAAGTTGTTTCGCGCAATAGCGTCTCGGTTTTGTGTGTGCCTCTCGCCGATACAACGAACCGGAGCGTCCATCGTAGAAAGGGGATCCCTCTGTCTCTTTCTCGCCCCGTCTCTTTCTTTTTCGTCCTCCATCTTCCTTTTTCTCCCTCTTTAGCTCCCGCTCTTTTCCCACCGGTATACCGGATTCGTTGCCACTACTCTGACTGTATGCTTCGTCGACGACTTATGAGCGTCGTACCAGGCAAGTTTCGATTCTTGGACACTCGAGAGGTTGCTCTTCTTCGCTTGTATAACGATGTTGCACGATTATATTTACGGGGAATGTCCATGAACTCGGTTGTGCTGGACACACATGGTTGTAGGTATTAATTAAGCATTAGATATAACATCGAATTCGTTTACGTCCAAATATATCGATAGTAGCTGGAGACATAACCTTAACATCGCGATTAACGTTACTTTCTATTCAAGGTTTCGAATGAAGGTCCTTCGATCGGGGAATTAGAGAGAATATTGATGAAGCAATTAGGGGATTATATATTACGGAAAGCATTAAGAATGAAGAACATCATTGTGATAATATTTTTATTGGATCGGAATTGGGACGCTTGGAGTGCCGAGTGAATCTCGTCGAGTGACAAGTTCAGCTTCAGCGAATGATCCCCTAATGACTTCGTGCGGCGTATCTCGAACAGCTTCGGCTATTACGGAACATTGTGTGGCTAAGATAATTTATACACGCCCACGTAAGGCAACAGGCACACGAACGTTATCTAGACGTTTATATTATTTGATTAAAACACCTGCTTGCACTATTCGAATGATATGACTGCATGAAGAACGACTACTCGATTTACGTGTTTGTTTCATGCTTACAAAACGCAAATGGTCGGTCAAAAACAATTTGGACAACTTATACCCGTTTTGTTCTATCAGCATATATACGCAAATTTACATTAATCGAATTTTTCAAACTGCTTGATTATGTTTGTCGGTTGTAGGTTTGCTTTCGGTTTTCATACGATGTCAGGATCTCAGCTACTGGCGTCAATAAAATTTGCCAATTGAGGTTGACAACTTTTGATACACAACGTGTCCCGTGCACTCGACGTTTGGACGAAAAATGTTCCCCGCTTACAGAAGACGCGATTTTTCTCAACAGGTTAATTGCGCTTGGAATTAAATCTCAGAACCGCCGCAACATTGCACGTCCCAGTCTAAACTCGAGGATAACGCAATCGAAAGGTTAACATGTGTACAAAATAACATTAATAATAATAATAATAGTAATAGTAATAATAATAATAGTAATAGTAATAATAATAATAATAGTAATAATAGTAATAATAGTAATAATAGTAATAATAATAATAATAATAATCGCAATAGCAATAATATTAATAACCGTAATAATTAGTGGAAGAAGAAATGAAGGGGGAAAGAAAAAGGAAGCAAAATGGAATTAACAGCCACAGAAAGAACTAATGGATCTGTTCCTTCCCCTCCCCCCCTGTGTATCTCATAATTATTCCGGTGTCGGACAGAGATACATCCGTATCTCTTCTTCTCCCATTTCGTTTACAAATCGATTTAAATCGTTTTCCTCCATTATCGATAATGTTCCACGCGGTCGTTCGTCGCGCTCTCCATTCTCGCCAACAATATTTAAATTCCTCTCTCTATCCACATATCTGCCCTTGTATATATATATATATATACTTTTTTTTTTAATTAGTGAATATAATATTTATATATATATATATTTATATATATTATGCATAGGTAATAATTGCAAATACAACTATGTAATGAATATACGAGCCTTTGTCAGGGAGAGCAATGCAGTCGTCATCAATAAAAAGAGTCACGGGTTACATTATACACCTATTTCACGAGACAATCCCCCCCCGTGGGATTCCGATCGCCCTGTGTTGTTGTGTGTGTTCGCACGTGTGTGTGTTGTGTGTGGTTCTCGTATCTCCATTTTTGCTCGCTGTCGGATCTCTGCGAGCGCGGACTGAAGGAAAGGGAAAAAAAGAAGAGAAAAGAGAAAATAACGTGTACCGTTTCATTCCCTCTGTTCCTCTCTGTTTTCATAGATAACGGAAAGGAATCACTCGTTTTGGATCGTCGAAAGACAACATTGGCCTCGGTCGGTAAGGACGATCTGGCCCTGCGAGAGGATAACAAAAGCCCCCTATGCGTTCACGTTGTCTTTCGTACGTGTCTTAAGTCACCGTATTCTATAAATCGATTCAGTCGTTCGAGTACGCGAGGTGATACATATTTAATAAGCACTTACAGAACGTAACTTTTCCCTGATATTACGCAATATTCCTTGTGTTTCTCGATAGTACGCAGCAAGGGGCCGATCTCGTAATCATCCTCTAGACAGAAGGCAATCATCGTCGTTTCCTCGTCGTTGGAACCGGCGAAATCGAGTTCGATACGTCGTTGCGAGTACGAGATCGGCCCCTATTTCTTTGTTATATTTTTTTTTTTTTTACATTTTTTTACGTTTTTGCTGTTACTTTTTTTTATATACGAGCTAACCCTTAGTTTGATATGGGTAATAGAAATCATGTTCCTTCGTTCTTCTTCGTCCTGATTCTTTTCACCATTTCAGAACCGTGTGCGCGATTAGCACGATTAGCACGATCTTATGTAATTATTCTGTACTCTCTCTTTTCCGTGTATCACGAAGCTTCCTCTCTTATGTCTAATTCGAGATTGTTTCTCGCTCAAGTACATCCAAGAACAATGAGATTTTCACGATCGGATAAGTTCCTTAGTGACCTCGGATATGACGGCACGAAAAGGATCGTCGAACGAAAAAGTCGAATAATATTTAGTTTTAAGATCATTAACCGATATCTACGTTACTAATAATACCTACTATTGGTATAAAAAAAAAGTTCGTCCAATCTCTTTCGTTTCAGTCAATTCGGAAGCTTTACGATGTGTTCGAGCAAAATTCGAAATTACCCAATATCTATATGTACTTCTAAGACTAATTGTGTACTGTACAAATGATGTCACATGCTTAGATCATCAAGATTAATGAACGTTATATACAAAGAATTACGATTTATTCGCAACTTAACCTCTTAAATGTTTAAACGTCTCTCTTCTCTATGCACGTGTTAACCCAAATTCTACGGTAGGTTATGCAACAATGTATATTCTCTACGTTGCACATTCGCAAGAATCGATTTGCACATACCAAAAGGTCAGCTCGTCCGACGCATCATTATAATTAACTAAACCTTAGGCATCAAAGTTTTGCTGAAATGGCGATAACGTTTACCGTTATTTTCGTCGTATGCTGGAGATTTTCAGAGGTCTCCTTTCGTTCTATCGATATACCCGAAGTATTCATTAAACGCTTATTACAATTGCGAAATATGTGTATTCACTGCGCGAACGTTCCTACCGTATCGTATCATTCGATTTAAAGGCGACGGCGAACGAACAATTCGTTTCACGTCATCATGAAGAAACTAACACTCCGATTCATCGAATGAAATCAGACAACAAACATGGAATCAATGAGAACAAATGAGAAAATGGCGATGGTTTAAACTGGGTGCTATTCCATCGTACCATAGACCAACGAATCTACAGTTGATGAGAAACTTATTACACCGAATTACCATCGAACGAAACCTGCACGCAACCTACGTTATTACAAAGGTTCTAGCATCACAGTCAAAAAATATACTACGCGATAAACGGACACGTTATTCCGCTCGACCGGTAACTCACTCATAGATAAGGATCTACCATATTAGCAGGGAAGAAAAATGATAATAATAATACTAGCAACAATTCCAGGTGCAAATTATGCCCGTTTCTTGTTCAATCGTTCGTTTTCATGATTACCTTCTCTCTTCCCCCTTACCCGCCGCCTGTTACGAATAACGACAAACGATTTACCCTTTAGGAATTGCAACGATAAATGAATCTAATTCGAGGCACTCGTTGGAAATATCTCTCTCGAGAAGAAACGTTGAAAAATCTCTTCGTTGTACGCGGTACTTTCCGAAAGCATTCGCCATGTAAAAACTCTAAATTAAATGTTGACGAGAAACACCGATGTTTTGCGACCAATCACATCGCGTTTCTTGACGCGTCACGGAAAAGAAAGAATACGATCAGAAATTCCTTTTTGTCGACAATCGCAATGCCTGCGCGTTCGATATACGTCGCGCCGAACTAGTCACGCGATCTATACATCGATTAATTAACTATGTAGTTAATGCACTTTGTTCGGATTGACACGAGATGTGCCTTACACACAACGTTTTCTCCACATTAACCGACTGAACCGTTAAAATCAAACGTAAATGGAATTATCTTTACTCGAAGATGTAATTTTCTTTGGTTGGTTATTTCCGGAAATTATAAATGGAAAGTTTGCTGTGAACATACCGGAATATACGATGCTTTACTAAGGCCACGAGATCTTTTTATACATGTACCGTTTTAAAATGATGGATTGTGTAATTAGAAACCGGATTTTGTGTATCTAGATAACCACTTTGATGTTTCCTTTTGTTAATTGCAGCACTAGTACGGTACGTAGTTTGTTGCTATTAAGCAGTATTAAGTGAGTAAATAAATTAAATTAGAATTGAAGATGAAGCTTTCGTCAGACAGAAATTGAAGAGCGTGAAAGATCAACAACCGAATATTTGCGATTAGGATGGAATCACGAATCCCTTATGCTATGCGAAATGTAAGTAATACCAGAAGTTTCATTACACAATTTAAAACTAATGAGTGTCAATTAATAAAAGTACTTGTTTGTTTCTAGTTCAGTGACTCTTTAAATTTCGACCAATTTGACCTTCAACCATTGTTTTTAGTAATGTACGATTTCAGAAGATAGGCGACGTGAATCATTACAACGGAAACTCAAATTTTGATTAAACGGTTAGATGGATCTCTTTCTAAGTACTATTATCGTATTTTTAACGTTATAATTTCGTCATAATTTCGCTGAAAGAACTCGATGATTTATTTATTTGTATTCCAAGATCTCAGATTACTGACAAAGGAAAGCAAGTATACTCTGGAATGAAGTACAAAATTCCATTCGAATTCGAATAGCGTGGCATATAAATTTTCAACAGACAACTACGAAAATTATCCGCTGAATGACATATTCGAAAAAGCGATTCAAAAGTGTGTGTTTGGAATATTATTATTAAATCACATGGTTAAAATAAGCTGGGATTTCGTCCATTTATGTAAATAATTTTCTGGAATGAGTTCTTTCTCAAAACATAATATGCTTTTTATGTTTATGAGGCTACGTTTGTGTCTTATGAGTAGTTTTGATTTTCTGTTTAAATCGTTCTCCTCGCTTGGTTACGCTTCGATTACGGTGGAACACTGTATTCATAAGACGTTATATAACAAGAAATTTTTCTGTTGTGCAGGGACGGCCGAAAGAGGCAGTGAAGACACAAAATAGAAGAAAAAAATAAAGTAACTTACGGCTATCCCTGTAGAACTGTACTTGAACAGAAATTCAATTTGAATCAACGAAGAGAAATCATGATACAGGGATAAAATAAGTATGATAAAAATTTAGTCGGATAAATTCATTTACATGATTTCTTTCCAATCAGAGAAATTTTTTAAAATAATTAAATGTCAATTTCTATTTTCTTTTTTTTATGATATTGCATATTTATTATATTCATTTTACACTGCATTTTAACTAGGATTTAACGCATCAATTTAGCGAACAAATTTAATTAATTTTTAATAAGTAAACAATTTTTACGAACGTTCAACAAAGTTTTTCAATTTTGCGCGATCACTACAACGAGGAATTTTCTACTAGCAGGAATACCAACAAGTTTGAAGCCCTTCGCGAGAAGAATGATCGAAGTAGAAGAAACCTCGTTTACGAAGACCTCGTTCGAAGAATGTTCGAAGCGCCGATACACTGACAGAACTCAGCGACACTTTGCGACCATTGGACGATTAATGATTCGACATTTAGAAAGAGAAAGGGAGACCGTGAGAAGTACAGAAAAATCGACAAACACCAATGATACTTATCTAGGGACTTAATGTTTAATACCTATGCGCAACACACCGCTTCACTTCTTTTCGTTTTATACAGCTTCCTCAACTAAGACACGATAGTTCTCTTTTTAAAAATTTGTCTAAGTGTACGTCGTTTCGATAATGATACGTTTCTCCGTGAACAAGGAGGAAATGGGGAGGGAGAAAAACTATTTTTTACACATGATGCGTTTTCGAAACTTATTAAAGCATATTTCTAATAAGTTCCTTTTTCTTTCAACATCGTAGCAAAAATGGTTTTTGAGATTTTTCCTTCCTTGTTACGCCGTCCACACGTACTAATATCGTTCACGTAAGAAATAATGCAGGTAAAATTACGCTAAATAGATTGTATATATACATATAATATATATATTATATATTATATGTATATATATATTTTTTTTGTATTATATGTATATATGTATAGTCATTTACTCTCGCTTCGCTAGAATTGGCACTTGGATTTTCTGCTTTTTCTTTTTTCACTCTTAAAAGCTTCGATCAAAACAAAAATAAAAGACAAAGGGATAGAAAAAGGAAAAAAGAAAGAGAAAGAAAGAGAAAAAGAGAGAGAGACAAATTTTAAATAGTCATCGTAATTGATAGAAAACTTCGATTTGCAAGATCTTCAACTCTCGTTTTCTTTCTTATTTCGCGTTAAATATCACTCGATGAGACTTAGATGATAAGACACTACATATATATTTCCGAGGTTCAACGATAAAGCGTGAATCACTTCTCGCGATCTGCCATCGGTTCAACGATCTGAATGTGATTATTCTGTCGTTCCAAGAGATTTATTCGAGTCTCTAACCGAAAAGGGAACAGAAAAAGGTACGCACCACTCTTCACGTGTGAAATTCGTAGAAACCGGTAAGCGGACACAGGCGTACGCGATCATCCGATAACGTTGAATAGAGAGTGGTCCGTAGCAGAAAGAAAAAAGGCACTATGCTTGCTTGAGGACGAATGAAACACAATGGAGATATTTAGAGTCAGTGAAAGCTAACATCACCGAAAAAGAACTAAAATTTGAAAGGAAAAAAAAAAAAGTAAAGAATGAGACAAGAAAATAAAAAGAAAGAAAACGACGAAGTGAAAGCGAGAGACTGATTTAAACACCTGGAATTTTGATTAATTTCGAAGACATGAATTGGTCACGCGATCTTTGATCTTACAGATACTCGACAATATCAAAACGCGTGCTTATTAATCGCATATGATGAACCCACGTGTATGAAATCTCAACCGAATCTGATATAGAACGTCTCGACAAGTCAAATCTGATACAATATAACGAGAAAAAATGTAAGAAGTAGAAACGAAATTTTCGAACGATTCGCTTCGTGTTCGAAGCTCTAGCAACGAAAGCAATAATGGAGCGATCGAAACTAATCGTTACGAGTTATCAAATGCATTATTAAGAGCACTTACATTCGCAAAGACGCTACTTTCTGTACAAACACCATTTGTTCCAACAGTTTCATGCCCCGTACAAACGTTTACGTTAGCTTGAAGGAACTGTTCATGGGATAAGTCTGTAACATGGATCCATTCTTCTTTAATACTTTGTTATTCATTTAACGCATCTCCCGTTGAGTATTCGAGTCCTTTGAATATATCGACCCTCACGTTAGAAATGCGGCGCAAATCAGAAGCGCATTTATTGCATCGTTTACTTAAGTTGCACTTGAATTCTAAGGTATTTCCTACATGCGTTGAGTGTCTTATAGTTCAGTCTCTTTGACACTGTCTGCATCTGCTTCGATAGATCCGATCATCGAATAATGGACTGCTCTTGTGTATTATCGTTATATATATGTCTGAATGTTAGGGAGATATTTTACACTCTTGGCTGATACTATTTGTACACGCGTTGATTGTCAGAGTAAATAAACGTAGAAGTTTGTAAGAAATTGTTAATTTCAATAACAAAATTATTGAAATTAGTAAAAGAAAAGAATAGCTGAATTCATGTACAAATATTTCATCTCTCGACTTATTACTCTGCTACTACTTTATTATGTAAACTTTTCATTATATTCAAAGCTAAATCGCAATATAGGATTGCTCTGAAAATTTAGTATATTAGTAAAGTATGCTAGAAGGTTACAATATTGTTATATACAATTTCACTTGCCTAATAATCAACGCGTGAATTTAATACAAAAAGGAAAGTTGTAATATTCATAACCTAGAAATGAACTTTTTACTGAACCATCGTACACCGAAGTGAATATGTATGGCACAGTATGACAGTGTTGAAACAAACGCCTGGAAGCTTCTTTCTCTTTCTTTCTGCACATTATACAAATACCTGTTGAATCTTATAATTTTCATTCTCAGTTTCTCCGTAATTCGTTGGCTTCGCTACAAAAAGCGGTGAAGTGTAATGAAATGAGAGTGAAAGGAAACGCATGAATTAATATTTCATAATTTTTATTACATTTTTTTTCGTAAATGCAAGGGGAAAAGAGTGAGCAAAAATAAGATTGTCTATCAATTATATCTACAAAAAAACGGAACGTCCAAATTGAATAACAACGAAATATATTAACCGGTTCCTGTACCTTTTAGTTACAACCCATCTATACTTTGATATTTGCGTTCTTACAATTTTCGTTTATCTCCATGAACACACACACGATAGATTTCATAATCGTCTATATATATATATATATATATATGTATATATATATATTTATTTATTTATTTATTTATTTATTTACTTATAGATATATTTTTATATATAAAAATAGGTTAAATTACTTTATCCTGAACATGTTCTTTCATGTGTGCTTTGCATTCTTTAAATTCGTTGCAATTAGTAGAAAATACTTGTCAACACTGTGCCATGCATACTCCAGCAACGCTCAGTTACCCCTTTTTTCCTATAACGAGACCATTTAACAGTTAAAAACTTTCATTATTTTTTGTTTTCTCTTCTCTTCAACCGCATCAAATGCAATTTTAAACCAACGTTTCCAAATATCTATGCTAGATCTTTAGTAACATACACTTTCCTTTTATTAATGCTGCGATTTCGCATAAATATAATACATAAAAAGAGCAAACAAATTGCACAGAGAGTTTTACGAGGAGCAAACGATGAAATCTATAAAATAGGAAGTAACAAAGTTGTGGTTGTTTTTCTCTCCTTGCTCGAAAACTTTATCAAGAAGACAAGGAACAACGAATTACATTATCTATCAATTTAAACAAATACAATCAAATCTTGATACTTGCTGAATACAAGTTGAAATATAATTAATATTCTAAAACATTCTAAAGGACTATGTTAAAAGTATGTCTTTTTAAAGTATAACAAATGAGTTAAATTACTAATCATTTAAGCAGCATTCATTTCCGTTTCAGAATCGTTGGCAGTTAGAAACATCAAATAGTATTTGCCAGCAGAGAAATTTGTCGTGAATAACGGACTCGGATAAAAAAAGAGAACTAAAAGCGCAGATAACGATGCACGATAAAATTTCAGCAAAAATATAACACGTACTTCTCTTTCCATTCAAGGCAAACTTAAACATCCTCTCATTATCAATCGACAAATTGTCAAAAAAAGAAATCGTAATAACTGGACGTTTCAATATTCGATCAATCTTAGTATCTAATAACTTTCAAATTACAATTCTACAAACTTAAATGAGAATACATACTAAAGAAAAAATAAACGACTTGTATTATGTTTAAACGAAATGCACGAAACGAATCAAATCAAACGATTAATTTTTTAATTACCTTTATATCTACGTGCAACATAAAGAAATTGTTATAAAAAGATTTTAAAAATAAAACTGCGGCATACAGCTGCTGCTAGAAATCAATGTTTCTCGTGTTTTAAAATAATCGACCACATAGAAGAAAATCAATTCGCGTATCTCATAAGAGTGTAAAACCCTATATGCTAATATTCAAATTTTTATAGGTTCATCAGTATCATGCGATGCTTCATTCATATAAATGACGATATATACGCAGTATACTGAATCAATACGAGCCCTTTTAATACAAGTCCTTTTTCTCGTTATCATCGTCTCTCACCTCCTTCAATTGCCTATCACAAAACACTCACAAGTAGCTGCAAATGCTTATTGAATGTGAAACAAAATAACGCGACACAGAAAGACGCTTATCTCGTCTTTTAAAACAAATTTAAAAGGCAATTTCGCGCTGATTTAAGAGGAGAAAGAAAAAAAAGAAAGAAAAAACGAAAGAAAAAACCAAAAGGTATAATCTAAAAGGGCAATAGCGTCAAAGAACATATTTAAAATTGCTATTCAAAATTTCTCCTACGTACTTATGCGTTCGAAATAATATATACTAAACAGATAAAAGACATTGGAAACATTAACATTATAAACTTTCGTTACACATTCAATGGAAAACATCGGCTCGATATACCTAACATCGTTTTTGCTTCCTTCGTTCCGTAACCTTAGGTCCTCTAACGAACATTTCGCGTCGTATCTATCTGCCTAACTATCCGAACAATAATAATAGCAATAGCATCGATAATTATATTAATAGTATTTATCGTCACAATAATAATAATAATAATAATTACACGAAGAAGGTATTCATTCGTACGCGTAATAAAGTGGCGCACACTGTACAACACATTGTATACTATATTTATCGCCGACGACGATTAATAATTACTATATGAAACCTGTTCGTTTTAATATTTCGATTTTACCATTCTTCTTACTCATTTACATCCTTTTTCTTTTTTCTTTTTTTTGTATTTTTATCTTGCTGCGTGTGAAATGTTTTATTGTATCGACAATGGCGCTGAGCATTCTCCTTTTCAATGACTAACAAGTTTCGAAATCGTATAAAACGGATCTACCCTAGCGTACGATATACACAACCGGAACCACTACGAGCGATCGCGTGATTTGGAAGGGGCAGGGGGCCCATTTCATTTTTTGTTATTTTCATTTTCTAATCTCAGTCCTGCTTCTTTCATGGATTTTCGAAGCGCAAAGTGCGGCCATAGTTAATTGCACGCGATCGATTGATTCGCTTGGCTATATCACTTTATGGCAGGTATTTCTAAAAAGAGTGCTTAACGTATTCTCGTCCTTCCTTTCTTTATTATGTTTTTTAATTTTTTCAATTTCATTTCCATTGTTGCAAGATCGATTCCCAAGTTGTGCCATGTTCTTTTTCACTAAGTCAAGATACAGCGGCTATGTCCGCGGCTTAATGAGCGGGCCGTGTGGTGAAGAAAAAAAGGAACGAAGAAGTAACAAAGAATCGTTTTAGGTTTGCGAAGCGTAAATGGTCTCTCTCTCTCTTAGCAGAAAAATATGAATAATACCGCTTTGCTCCTTCTCCAGCGAGACAACGAGCAAAGATAAAATAGAAAGAAAGGAAAAAATAAAGAGAAACGGAAAGAAAAAAGAGAACAAAAAGAAAGAAAGAAAGAAAATGGCGAACAGCAGATCTTATATACGATTCACGGCAGCTCGTGGACAGTCTGTGCTAGTCTTCCTCTTTTTTCCTTCCGGCAGAAAAAAGAAATATAGTCTCCTCCGGACGTGGCACGTGATAAGCCCTTACTACCTTTTGGACCCTCTTCTCGCATTCGCATTGTGGTATTTTTTTTAATCTAACGTACTCTTAAACTGGACGACACACTTGGACGTGCGCACGGTAAGTAACTAATTATATAGAGTTAATTACTGCTTTCTTAATTGTCTTCTTTTTTCGCCTTTTCCTATTATTCTTTTCCCTGTCTCTTATTGAAGGACAAAGTTCTTCAAGAAAAACGTCTCTGCGTACTTTCAGTTCGCGCATTTATACCTGGCTCTCCGCAAATGCCCTTTTTCCTCATTGTTTTCTCTCTCTTCGGATGGATTTCTGTTTTTTTTTTATTTTTTCTTTTTATTTTGTTTCCTTTTTTCTTCTCCTTCGAAACGTAACGATTGTCGTTAAAAAAGCCCCTTCATCGATGTGATTACCATTGGTTAAAAAGTAGCACGCAAGCGTATCACAACGACCGCTCGCGATCACACAACGGCATAGATCGAGGAGATCATCACAGTCGCGCGCACAAATCAGTTATAGAAGAGAAATCTTTGACTTTCGCAAATTTTAACAACAGCTTGAAGGTTCTTTCCTGTGATGTGTGAATTATATCTTCCTGCAACCCCGACTCAGAGAGTACTTGACTTTGTTTTCGGCGATAGAACCCAGGAACCATGTGGACCGTTTAGATCAGCCTTGGAACATGCCGAGAAAATGCAAATTCTGCGACAACGAAGACAGTAGCGTACCGACAACCGAGAAAAGGTAGAAAATAAAAGGCGGCCTTTTCAGTTTGTGTCAGTAGTGCAAACTGCCCATTTCCTTGATTTCGTTGCTACCATCGGCGTTGCTGCTACTTGTCATTATGTTGCCGCCACAATTCTGCGTATCGTACTCCAGTACCAGCCGCTTGATATGGCTAAGCTTTTCATGTAGGTAATGAAATCGACGTTTCGTTTCTGTATGTACAGGATCCCGTTTAGTCTCATCATATTCCTGCAGAATTTGCCGCCTTATTTCCTGTAAGATAAAACAACAAAGTCAATCAAATTATTAATTACTTGATCCTTAATATCCTTTATTCACAGGACTCTTTAAGAAGCATACGAGTTAAGATATAGTACCTCGTATTCATCCCAATTTGCAGAGGCCTCTTCCTGTCTCAAACGGTCTTGAAGCTGCGTGAAATGTCTAGATACTTCCGCTACTTGAGCATGTAACCTTCGATACTCTTCATAGTCCGCATTGAATTCTGCCTTGTAACGTCTTCTCTGTTCCGCGCTGCTTATTGTCGTGTAATACCTGCAAGCAATATAAGCCTAAGTATATACATACATCTAGACGTACATAGTTACCTAGTGGTATCTGAATTACATTTGAAAGTTTAAGAAGATGGCGCGTGTATACACGAATACAACGCATATACATGAGACATCAGTAACTGAGAAGGAATAACAGTGAACATCACTGAACCATTTCATTAACTCTCAAGACACCTACGTGAGGTAGTCCGGGTACTCCGACGATTTAGGACTCTCCGGTAGATCAAGACCGCAAGAGGAAGTAGTGACGGTGTTATCTCCATTGGCGGCGTAATCGGGAGCGGATAGATCGTTGTAGGAATTACTGCCTGTCCCGTTGCTCTTTTTCCTCGAGTCACGATCCCGATCGCCAGCACGACCCCTGTCGTTCCTGTCGCTTCTGTCTCTCCTGTCGGCGAGTATTCCATTCGAACTACCACTGTAACTACCTGCACTACCACCATCACTCACGGCACTTGGCATAGAACGCCCCACGTAATCCACTGCCGGTACAGCATTTCCATCGGCACCAAGCGTTGCCGACTTGCCGGCATGATGATGACGACTGGCGCTCAAAGAATTACTATGGGCTACACTATTATGAGAATTATGGCCGGTGGTCACGTTGCTAGTGGCGTTGTTCCCGGACGTGCCGGTGTTCGCGATGATTCCATCCCGATGACCGGGCTGGTTGGTCTCTTCACTGTCACTGGTAGGCGTCAAGCACGGTTTTCCTGTGCCGTAGCTGCCGCCGCGAAGCACATCACTGTTCGTTGTTCTTTCAGGCCGATAATCGCCACGACGATCACGTTGATGCTGCCTCTGGTCCCAGCTGTCAACCACACCACCGCTGCTACCACCACTGCCACCATTAGCACTACTACCACCGGCTCCACCGGAAACAACACTAACACTGTTACTACTACCACCACTACCAGCCGTCCTTCCATTCTCCCCTGCGTTCGACGATCCGGAATTCGGCTCTGGCTTCTTGTAATGGGATATTCGCGGTCTCTTTGTTGGCAGTCCATCGTTACCCTGATAGTAGCCCGGTCGTTTGTTGCTCAACAAAGATGGCGGCGGCGCTGTGATCGCTGGCGGTGAACCTGGATGAGTGGAATTTGGTGATTGTCCGCTACCTGTAATGATTATTGATAGTGTAAGTGTTGAATACGTACTAATACAATGGAAGACCGTTACATTATCTTTTGAACTATAATACAGTTGAAAAACTGTTTTCTCAGTCTACAGTATCAAGCATTACCATTCAAGTTTTGAAGAAGTTAATGTTACTACCAAGAAATTATCTATGAGTGTTTCAAGATGGACACGATAATCAGGCTTCCAACTGAGATTAAGTCGAGAATATCAGTGATTAAATTTGTAATGTTAAATTGTAACGATCAGGTGAGGATTTTGATTTATGAAAATAAACCGTACCGCTGGATCCACCATCGCTAGAACCAGGAGGCGTAAGATTTTGAGGTTTTCTTCTTTTCAACATCGCCTTCTCTTGTTCTGTATAATAAGGCCAGTCTTCTTGCACATCGTTCCAGACGTATCTGTGCAGATGATACGTATTATCCCTCATGAAAGCTACTTGCTTCAGAATTGTCGTCATAACGTTGCGTTCTCGATCCTTTATACCCTCTGAAAATAAAATATGGATTAAATAACGTGCTCCAAGTGTTCTATGAATATTCTGAAATTTCTAGTTTCCGTTTATATCCTTACCACGGTTTATGCGATCATACAATTCAGGTTTCTTGTATGGCCTCAGAGCCAGGAGATGAATAAGTCTTTCCCTGCGAAGAAAACGCCAAGTATCCATTAGTTATCGATACCAGACAACGTAATTATTTATATCTAACATTGCCAATTTTATATTTCCTTTCTAAAATGATCTTCAAAACATCCTTCCCCTGTATTTCCCTTTTAATACGACTCCTAACGTCAATATGACTGATATTAATCCGTGATTTGCCGTGACTCAGAATTTTTTATACTTTCCGGTCTAGCAACTATTCGCAGGCAATTACAAAAATTGTACTTTCTCTAACATAACATTCTTTCTACTAATAGTGACAAAACGGAACTCAATAAAACGAAGTCGACGGAATAACGGATACTTCGCGACAGATATAATTTCCAATATTAATTCGTTATAAATGACTCTTTCCTTGATCTAGAATTTTTTTTACAACAACCTACGATCCGTTGGTTTTTACCATTACAATTACACGACCCCCTAATTTCCGGTCATAACATTATTGGAACGCGTTAATGACAATCAGATATCCTTCTAGACGTACTTTAACGGTCTACGCATAATGTCAGAGACTTTTTTCTCCGGCTGATTCCGGGCTGGCGGCAGATTGTTGGTGACCGATTTGTAAGAGGAAGACAGTCTGGGCTGACTGCCGGAAGTTGGAATGCTCGTCGATTCCCGATGCCTCGAATTCGATGGTGACGGTATTGTCCTTCCGGTCGCTTTCACCTTCACCTTGCGTCCGATGTCCGGTCCGTTTGCCTTGATAACCCTTGTGCTGGTGAAAAATAAAACGGAGAACAATAAGGAACGTGCTGGTAAATATAAATCCTTTTGTTTCGCGCACGTGAAGGGAAAATGCGATAACGCGCTGATAGACGAAGCGGATCGAAATTTCGAAGGGGAAAATTCAGTTTCAAATGTACGAGAAAAATTTGTATTCGGGAAATATATTAATTTAGAAGTCGTGCTATTTTTTGGACAATTTTTCACGTGTCACATCCCTGTAGTGTCATCTTTTCTTTTTAAATTCGCGGTAATTGGACAACACGGTTCAAAAATTCATAAATGGCGATAAAAATAAGAGATGAACAATAATATTCATTAATCTTATTTACATTAATATTATTATTATTAAATTATGTTAATTATAATGTTAATGTTAATTTTGAAAAATACAGGTTAATTTTAATGTTAATTTTGGAAAAAGCAGTTACATATTTTTAGCAACGGTGAAAATAATGTCAACCATTTTGACTAGTTTAGTAGTCGTGGCATTAACGGCGCTAAAATTGAACGCTGGTAGAAGCATATGGGAGTATAGTTCTCTTCGACATGAATGAATTACCGTTTTCGAAATGATGGACGGTACTACGGTTATGGTATTTTTACATTACTTTCCTGCAATTTGCATGATTTAGCAAGTTGAGAAAATGATTGATAGTTCCCTACAACGTGAATGAACTAGTTCTCTTATACATTAAATATTCATAATAGAAAGTGCTATATGCGAAACTATGCAAGCATAGCACAAACTACGGTTGTTAAGCGAAAGAGAACAAAAATCATGGTCGTTAACGCCCACGTTTTTCCACTTGGTCATTTCCAGTTTGAAACTACTATAGCGTTGATCGTACGCCTCCACTATTTGCGGTTCTTAAAAACACTTTCTCACAGCGATTAGGTAGCACAAGAAGCGAACATGATATTCGGAGGAAAATTTTTATCATGTTCCACGTTAGTTACATATTATAACATAATTACGAATTATACGTAAATAAATTACTAAATTACTATGTTCTGATTAATTACATATTCTAATATTACCGACATTTATTAACAATAATAACTCGTTAGAATATTGTTCACGCGAATACACTAATATGAAGACCCGTGTAGTATGATTTGCAGTAATTAAATAATTAAGGGATAAATTGCATCTCGAAAGATTCTTCAAAAAGAAATATCCCCTCATATTTACAAGAATTCGAGCTTCATTAAGGGGACAGACCAGTATGTAACCTTCAGAAAATCGATTCTTTGTACTGTCTTAAAAAATTCTCCATCTAACTCGAGCAAACATTTTTGTCAACCAAATGTTCTAACCTCAATCTTCTCAGAATACCGCTTTTAATTATGGTAGACAGCATAAGTTTCAATCACTGAAATTTTTTGAACATGTGTCCATGGCTCTGGCATTAACCACTGACAGGGAACCTAAGAATTTTCAAAAACATTTTGAAAAAAAATTTTTCTCAGTAACAATTTGTCTTATTCTATCATCTCCAACTTCAGGATTTTTCTTTGAACTTGTATGAAGCTCTAAATTTGTTAACCATGGTTAGCACGATAGCCACATTGTTTGCCTTTATTCGCCACATTTTATCATCCTTTGCAGATTTTTTCTCTATGCTGTACCTTGTCCACCATCAAGATCCACTCCATTTTGTAGATGGTTAATTCAAGATTTTTTCTCGGATATTTCTGTTGTGATATTTTTTATCTCAATATTTTTATTAATAGGTTACGGTTAAAAGTAGTCTATGAAAAATTTACACGCCCTACCTTCTTCCAATAATTTTCTATGAATTTTTAAAGAAAGGTTATGATAGAGGTTATGTCGTACTAGTCTGCCCCTTTAAGATGAACTACTAGGATCTGCTTGTTTAATCACGCTCAGATTGTACGACACATTCATCACTGCATTATTGCCTGTATTCAAAAATGAAGATCGTTACATAATAATTAGATCAAATATAGATCATAATAACAAAGAATAGAACGACTCGAGTACTTGTATCCTGTCCAATTACCTCTAACAAGATGTATAATGAAAAAATATAACAACGTAATAGCCGAGTAGCAGGGTAGAATTCACCCTTGAATGGGTGGTCAAAATGAATTACCATTATATCCCCTGAAAATCATGTCAGCCCATGAAACCATTCGTGTCCCTTGTTTTCTCTCATCAACACCTAACCAAACCGCCCTTGACGTCGTTTATCGAGGTTCCGGTTGACGCCAGTCCTCTGCCGGTAAACTTTAATTCACAGGAATTGTCTTTCCGCGGGGAAAATATGATTAATCGATTCCCCCTTTTGACGCAAGCGGCCGCCACCGGCGAAGCCCATTATCGCTTTTGTTGTTACACGAGGCATTATGTAACCGGTGCTGCTGCTGCCGCCTAGACGATATTACCGCTCGATTTATAGGTGACGGCTCGAAGCGAAGGGCAGTGCAATGCACCTCGCGAAACACAAATGGAATTTCTGGCGTTATCGACTTGACTTTTTTCTCCTCTCCGTTTCGTGCCTCTAAGTGGAAATCCGCCACTGACTGTCCCCGTTACGTAATCCGCTTGCGTGAACCGTGACACGAGATAATACGTTCCGTCTACGGCGTAAAAGCGACGGACACCAAGGGATCCGGAACGAAGTCGCACTTGTGGGGTGCTCTTAGCCTTGACCGTTACACTGTTAAACAAATTAGTTGACCTATCGATGCGACATTTATCCATTGACTCGCAATTGGGACGGTCTTTTACCGGGTTCGTTCTTAGGTTAGGTTCGATTCACGAAATGGCAATTGTTCCCGTTTGCAAGCTAGTAACTGGTTTAACTGTTTAAAAATCTAGCATTTGTCGGGGTTACTGAATATATTCCGCGTTTCGCACGGTTGGATTTAATCGCAGTTAATAAGGAGGGAGAAAGATTCTTTAGATGATTAGAGAGTTGGAGAGAAAGTATATAGTATGTTCACAAATGAAATATTTCTGTGGAAATTTTATCGACGTATCTTTCACTGCGATGCCGTAACAATATTCCTTAAATTTATTATACGTTTATAAAACGAGCAATTTGAATGCTAATTTGAGGTTATATATAGTGTGAAGAAAATGCACGTTGGAGGAGATTCGACGTAAGATAGTTGCGTGTAAATAGAACAAGGAACAGTACTTTTATCTCTTTCAGCTATTTCAGTTAAGAAGAACGGTAAGCCTATTTTGCATTCAGGGAATAATAGTCCAGGTCGTGGAATGAAATTAAGCATTTAATTAATAAAAGAATAAATAAAATATAAAGATACGTTAAGCGAACGGAAATTTTCAATATTTTATGCACTACGTTATCTGTTTACAATAAATTTGCAAAAATCATTCTAATTTCAGGAGAATGGCTATCAGAGATGGGAAGTTCACAATCACTCAAACGTTAATTACAATACGCATCAAAGTCACCAAACATGGTACACCAGAGTTAGCACAGAATCATAAAAGGTTGCATTAAAAATCTCAACAAAAATACCACGATTTACGTCTAATTATCGACTCACAGATATAACTCTAAAATTCGTAGATGCTCCCCCACAATTGCTGACAAACATTGCGTAAGCGATACTGCATGGACGAATCTAGAATTCAATTATCAAGGGGGATCGTGTGAACCGTGATACCTCGATAAACGATGGGTCTACAAATAGCAGGACGAGACTTGTTTACGAAGATGAAATGCGTAAGACAAATATGACACGGAAGCCACTGAAAATAGCACGACCAAGCATGTAAAGGATGGGATGGTCGTATGGGTGTACACGTATATCGATAACGACCGTGTTGAAGAAAAATCGGCCTCTGCTGAGAATCGATGAGGCTGAACCTTCGACGTCCTGTATCTTTCCAAGGGGTGACTTACCATTTGTTCTTGTTATTCTCCTCGGCGACGGCCATCCGATGCCTGGTTGTCTCGTACACGTCGTCGTTCGCCTGTATCCGCATTTTGCACGGCAATGCGCCAAGACTCTCCAGGCTTCTGCACAAGGAAAAATGGAACGCTATAAAGGGAGCGATAAGTCGCTAGAACGAGTGGACGTCGTTTTTTTTTTTTTCTTTTCTGCCAACATCGGTTCCAGCGTCTTCAAAATTTAGCACACGTTTGAGAGACATAACGTGGTAGATCCGAGTGGTCGAAATCGATTTTATTCCGCTGGGTATAGGTCGTTACGGGATAAGATTTAAGAGGCGACGTGATTGCTTTTTCTGTTTAGCTTCAAGGATATAACTTCTCTTATGAATTAGAGACGAGGTTTATCTCTATCAACCAAATACACGTTATCTCGCGGAGAATTCATTTTATAAATGAGCGAAAAAATATGATGTATCTCTTGCTTCTGCTTTCCGTGTTATCTGCAAAGCGAGACTTGTGAAGATAAAGCTAATTATATGTTTGGACGTTACAGGATAATATTGAAGAAAGTATTTTATTTTTGAGATATTTGATTAAACGTAGATAAAGAAAATTTATACCTTTAGATGCTAGCAGCGAGGAACGTATTTCAGGGAAAATAAACTCGATTTCGAACACTTTAACAGAGTTAAATTTAAATCACTTTCGTGCATTTTAAAATCAGATTTATATCAGTGTTAGATTAGCATTACTGAAGAAAGCTATGATGTATTATAAATCTTAAAAGCCTCGTGTAAATAATATAGCTATTAACTTTGACGACTCCGATGTAGTAATAATTACTGATCGTTCCGATATAATTCTTTTTTCATGATATGCTAATTATTCTAACTATTCTGGTACAGTTTACCATTACTACAATCGATATTCCCGATACGATCAGAGATTATATTCAATGTTCGTAACTTTACTCGTCGACTACAACCATTCTGAACATACCCAACGTATCAAACAGATTTATTAGAACAGTTTGAACTGTTTAAAAATGTTATTTCTCAAGTATAAATCAATTATTATTATCCATGTAAACAACTATACAAATAACTATATTATATTTCTCAACCTGTTAAAAGAAAGAAAAAAAAAATTATTAAATAGTATTAAACTACCTGTTACGGTAGCATCAATCATGTAATACCAGTTGAGACATGATATGACTAGTTACTTACTTAGGGCCCGTTTGTTGGATGCATTCGAAACCACCCTGAGGACCCTCGATGTCTTGATTGCCAGAAAGACTGAACGTAAAGCCGGCTGATCCATGGTTGGATTGCGTAGATGGAAAGGAGAGTTGCTGGAATCAGAACACCGCAGGTTATTCGTGTGCCTTCATCCTGCTAATAAGGTCGCATTAAATTACGAAACAGCTTATGGTGTAGTACTTGGCGTGTACGTAACACGACTAACCATATACGTATTCTCATATTCCTATACCAGCGTCAGCTACCTATACCTGCCGGGTATATGAAACGTTACAAGCATATGTATCTCCACCTGTCTATCTATCTATCTGTTTATCTGTCTGTCTGAGCCTTTAAGTAGAATCCGTAAGTAGGATCTAATGTTCCTCGAGGTAGCGCGTTTTATACGCTGGTCCTGTTGTCATTACTCGCGTTACGCTCTTTGATCTGGTATCGTGTGTTTTATTTTTTTGCTTTTATGGATTTCTTCTGTATCCAGTAGGAAGAACATGAGAAGAGTTGTCTGTTAGAGATGTGATACAAAAAGTTAGTAGTAAACATGTAATATGATAAAGTAAAATATTCATTCATATATATATATCATAGTAATAAGATCAAATTATGTTCTTACATTATGCATGATTACCTTAAATATCACGCGATGCATCGATAATAAAGAAAATTCTAATGGTATTATTAAATTCTTCGTGAAGTGATGTCTAAACACCCATTATCTGAATGACAAAAGAACATAACATAAAATGGTTACGCTCGAATTATTACAATGCATCCGTTAACGCCTAGTTTAACCTAAAACACAGTGCACAAAACAGGATTGAGATTTTTCATTGAAACAGGTTTTCTAGTTGTGTGAAATAGACGGAACAGTGGTGATTAGAAGCACCGTGTCAAATTACAGCTAACCCCCCGTACGATTCAGCTCCAACGGACATTGTTTGGTCGGCTTTTAACGCGGTCTCGCGCGACCATAATTTCGTCGGATAACAAAGGCGCGCTCTGTCCGCAGTTATCGACGCGCTAGATAATTTCAAGCTCATTCAGCCTTGCATCAAGCACACGTGCGGATGCATTTATTCGTCGGTCACGAAATTGGTCCCGATAAACGCCGCGAAATTGGAACGACACGAACGTAAACGAAGCGGCCGTGGAGTTTGGAGGATTAGCGTGCAAACGTGTGTAATCTAACCTCGCTTGCTTCGTAAGTATCAATTACGATCGTCGTCTCCTATAATGCGATGGTCACGGCTCACGACGAACGACGAGTAATCGACGGTTGGTATCTTAGCCGTTGCCCACGAAGTATCCCGATTACTCACGGAAACGACCGAAAGAGGTTCGTGCCGAGCACCGCTTTTTACACGTGACAAAGGATTCGTTTCACTTCGATATCGCGTATACATAGAAAGAACACAAGCGAATAATCTCGTACACAATTAAATTTGTCTAGTTTTATCGACAGAATACTCGTGGCAGACGTCATAGATAAAATTGGAGGTAATTCCAATAACCTCGACCTTCGTTTCCGTAACGAAATTATTAGTTAAATAATGACAGAAAATGTAGTAGGAATGTTTTTCGATTGTGAATATACCTTATGAATGGTGTATATGTGTCGGCAGATGACGAGTAACGTTAGTAACCAATGATAATTGCATTCGTAGAATTAGCAGGTTTACTTTTGTATATGATTACTAAGATCGTAAATATAATTAGAAGTTGCTGTGTAATGAAAGCGTTAATAAGTAGAATATTAACGAATATCGTATCTTCGTAACAAATACAAGTATGTATACTATTGTTTCATTAATGTTTAGTAAATTATAACCTAATATATTATTACAAAAAGAAAAATATTTCATATCTGACTTTTGTTTTACAAGGAACTTTTTCCACGAAGTTCGATGTATTAAATATTTAAAACTATTCCGTTAATATATCGATTAATAACAGCTTGAATCACTCATGTACTATTCCATGCCTTAGAGTTAAAATTCTGTCCTCCCATAAAAAATTCCATGCATCTGTTACTAACTGCCGTCTCGTTCGAAGATTTCCCATGTGTCACGAGGTCATCACACACGTTCATCAATTAACAATTAACTTTACAGGGTCGATGGAGCGTTGCATGATGTCGTTTCGAAGTAATCCTTGGCCTTCGAAGCAACGCATTGCATAGACTAAAACGAAATGAAATTCACTGATACGCAATACACGCATAGTTCACTTCGTTAAGAACATAACCTCAATGTTTACCGTAAAGTTTGTTCAAGCAACATAGAAGCCATTCGTAAACTGTCTATAACGATTCATTTCGATATATTAGGGAATAATCACTTGCACAAGGACTCGTAAATAACGAATAGCAAACGGTAATACAAAAATAAATTCCTTTAGATCGTGTCAGCGAAGAATCGGCGATTAAGTCTCATGAAGACGGGCTACAATATAAAAGCAAGTTCCGACGGATGTGTACAACGAAGGGCACTGTAGTAAAATTTCGTTTCAAGTACCAAAGGATACAATGAATATTACCGTATCCGGTGTGCATCGGACGTGGAAATGGTAAATGGCCCGGGACGAAGTCTGTGTAAACCTATTTGCGGAAACATTTCGACGTTTGTGGTAATAGAAGTTTCCTTCGGGACGGAGGCAACACATCGACGATAAAAAGGGTATATCTTGTGTGTTTTTTATTACAAGGATTTGTACTGTAAGGGTAAAGATGAATTAGAATAAATTTTTCCGTACGTTTACATAGTAACAGAATGAAACGATATAAGAAAAATAAAATGAAAATAAACAGACCGTTAAAATTTTTCAAATCTTTCCAAAATTCAATTTGGGGTCATTCAGACTGAATCGATTAGTTAAATTTCCCACGGTACAGTTCTTTTTTCGTTACTTTTTTATCCTTTCTATAGTTTCTCAGTTTTACACTAGACTTTTTTTTAACGTAACGCGCTCACGAATTTAGAGATTAGGTAAGAAACCTGGTTTCCATGCTTTCGAGAATTAACTTCTCCTTCATTCGTACACACAAGAGTTCTGCACAGCTTTTTCCCCGATTGAATTTCATCGAAAGTCAGTCGAGCACGACCGACGATTTCGCAACGTCCACGCTGTACCTCTGCCCCTGTGCGTCCCCCACTCCTCGACCCCCTACCCCATTCCACCCCTGGCTGTTCCTTTCTCTTCCTCGATTCCAACGAAATCCTTTCTTTTTTTCGCTTGCTCCATGGAACGCCTCCTGACATTTCGGACTCGATCAGCGGACCGATTATTTTTCGGGCGACGCGAAGCGACGTGTCGAACCTTACAATTAGATCGATCGCTCGATGCGTTCAATGCTCGCGTCTCGCGGGAAACGAACGACGATGGCGCGTCAGTCGAGGATGTAAGCGTCGGGTGGACGATCTATAGACGCGAAACTCGAACGTAAATCGCTGGGGCACTGACGCTAACGTTAGACAGATACGAAAACTCGTCTCAAAAATTAAACCCACGAGGCGGGTGGCAGGTCTTGCAAAATGTTTGTCGGTATGACGGTGTAAACGGGTTCAAGCGATATTATTCGCTTTCGATAAGCACCTCGGTTTCCATGGAATACTTATTTTTCTCCTTTTCCTTCCACGCGTTTTTTCTTTTCGTCGGTTTTCTTGCCGCTACACGTCGGCCACCAAAAACCGGTCCTGACACGATAGCGAGTGACGAAACGATAAATGCGAGTATTTTTCAAGTGTTACGGAATTACGACAGAGTTACATTTCCAAGTCGCGGGGCTCAATAAAAAGGGCTCAATACGTCCATTTTGGCAAGTCCAGTAGTGTCCACTAATGTTCCAATGGCAGATGTTTCGAAATTTATTCGTCCTTAGCGGGACGGCTAATAGACTGATTCTTGCAATTAGTAAGGTAATTTTATTGTTACGTTTATAAATGCCGTTTGAGTTTTGAGTAATTTGCAATTGAACCTATTATCTTGTCTAGCCAACAAATGAAAGATAATGTGACGGTTGAATCCCGAGGATTCTCAAACTAACCCAACAAATCCACCGAAGTTTCAATGTCGAAATACGATGAACAACAAACTATCTACAGAAAATTGATGAAAAATTTGTCACAATGAACATCGAATTTATCTACGATTAAAAATAAGGTAAGAACAGAACATGGTTAGTACCAAAAATAGTAAATATGAAAACCACCGTGATAAAGAATTTAGTTAAAGGAAATATTTCAAGAAGAATTTAATAATACGAAATATCGAATCTTAGTATAAGAATGAAAAATAGAAAACATAACCTTCAAATAATCTTAAATGCGATTTAGCATTATAGAGAACATTACGGAGAAGAGTTAGAGGACGAAATGATAATTTACGTGGAAATTTAATAAGACACGTAGCCATATTGAATTGTCGAATGACTATCGATCGAATCGATGTATAAAAGGAAAGGGGTATTGGGAAAACGATGACAAGAGACAAGCGATCGTAATCTTCGAGGAGGAAGGGAACTTCTCTCACGGACATTCACGTATCGAGGACACGGAGGATCCCCCTTCTCTTCTTGCCTCTTAAACGAAAGGTTGAGCCGCGCGAGAATGCGATATGAAAGTTTCGTGAAGGGAGCAAAGCCGTTCGTTTAAATTTCACTACTCGAAGGACGACCGTCTTCTTACGCGTCATGGGATATTTTCTGCGACGATGATTACGATTTCTCATGTCATTCCATAACGTGGAATGTGAAAGAAAAGCTTCCAATGTCGTATACTTTCTTTTCAACTGGCTCTTTTATTCCTCACGTTTACCTTTGACTTTAAGTAAAGTGTTTGAGAAGTTTGTTGATACCTATCTTAGTGCAATATATTTTTCTTGTAAACATTTCAAGGAGATGGCTATCAAATTTTATCTGGTAACCTCACGTTTGAAATAATAAAGAAATATTCTTTTCTTCTTTTTCGAAAATATGGCGAATTTTCGTTTATTTTTCTGTTGGTAATGGAGGTAGTGGAAGTTAAATTATTTTGTACTGAGTGAAATATGCACAAGATTCTTCTGTGATAGTTATAGTTCATGAATTTCGTTAAAACTT